ACTAGCAGCGCAAATGGGCCCGTTTGTGTCCTCCAGCCGTGAAATCATCGAGAAACAACCCATTTGAATTCAAGTGTTTCATGCACTAGATGGCAGTAGGGTTAGACGCTGCAGACGATGAGGCACAGCAGTCTAATCCTTTCTGAAGCTTTTAACTGAATCTCTTGCGGCCGGATGATCGGGGGACAACATTTTTAGGACAACCATCATCCTTGAGAGTGCGCAGAGGAAATTCCCTCTTGGCTCTGCAATCACAAAGGCCCTCCTAGCACACACACAAACAGAGTGTGAAGGGGGCCGACGCCGTGACTAAAGGACTCAGGGGCGTGGACTGGAAACAATGTACATCCTCTCATAAAGAACATCTTGGAAATTGCGCGAGTGTGATCGGTTCCTCTTTCCTTCCCGATCCCGACGATGATATGTTTGCCGCAGCAACAGATGATAGAACTCACGGTTCGGGTTGTGTCGCAGATCATTATAATTTTCCGCTATTCAAACAGCATTTTTAAATTTCAAAACAAGAAAATGTGTACGCGGAATCAAACCTATTTCTTTGATTACAATCAACAACAATTCAAATTATTCTAAATGCCTTAGGTTCAAGATTAGATCACTGTAAGTGAGAGTCGTCTACATTCCTGTGGGCTCCATCCACTCCCCCAGGAGGGGATTTGCATCATGTGTGGTGGGAGGCACACCTGGATCTGGGGTGAACATGTGGAGTGGGAGGAGTCGAGGCTGGTAAGACGGCTCGCCACCCGGCATCAGGTGTTTGCGCCGTGTCTAAGTTCATTAGAGAGCTCGTGACTGAGCCAGATTTGGGTTTGCTGTTTTTGTAAATGAATCTGGGAATTGATCGCCCTTCTTCGTGCAGGTCAAGGTCCAAAAGAGCCTCCCTGAAGATCCTTCCAGCTCCGAGTGAAGGGACCATGCAGCCAAACCCAACTCCTTTTATTCCTAAAATGACAGACTGACAAAGTGGCCTACTTGAGCCCCTACGTGGCCACGTGCCCTGGGATTGTCCAGGAGAAGATTAACCAATGCCAACGGCCAGCTGGTGAACGACTGTCACTGTCACTGCCGGGTGCAGGAAACACTGCCAGCCCACATGATACCAGTCAAAGTGGATGGCAGAGGCACTGGTGGGCCCAGGTGTCACTCGTCCAACCCCATCTCCTAACAGTTAGAGGGCACAGGTGGCGGGGGGGGTAAAGGAACCTCCTCGCGGCCCAGTTTGAGGGGCCAGCTTGGGACAACCCAGAAGGAGGAGCCTTACCTGCTGCATGCACGCAGCAAAGTCAGCGCTGGAGTAAACATGCAGAGTTGTTGCCATCCGGCGTTAAAAAACAAGGCAACAGATTGCAAAAAGCTTCCACTGGCCAGGTGTGTTAGGGGCAGTGGTACAGGACTCTTCCCAGATAATCAGCCCCAAGCCTGCTTTTGAATGTCCCCTCACACCTCCCTCTAAAATTGAGGAGCAAAAAACACACATTATAATCATCATCATCACCTTTTTTTTATTTCTACTTGGTTGATCTCCAACGGCGCAGGATAAAAATGTTCCCCTCACTGTACCTCGCCCTGGCTGGGTGGAGGTGGGCCACCCGTCCACCCGTCACCAGGTCCACAGACCTGTGACGCCGTTGTTAAAGATAGAGCGCAACAACGAGCGGTCAAAACACAGACTATATTTCCTTTGTTTTTTAAATCCCCCTGAGCTGTTGCCTTCCAATGATTGACACTTTGACATGTCAGAGGTGTGCCGAGGGCCGTCTGCAGTCGTATGGTCAAAGCCAGCTGGTGTCACACGGCAAGTTAATGAAAACGAGGGGAACCAAGGCACTACATTTCTCCTCTGCCTTTAGAAGGTTTCTTAATATAATTATACATTTAGCAAAAATCCTCCAAAGTTACATTTTGTAGATTTAACACAAGATTTAAAACAGGAGATTACATGAATTGTGCTTTTACAGCATTCTCTTCATCTCATCACCACCTGTGCCTGTTCTGCAAACGGTGGTTTCCTAAGAAAAATCCACCAGTTACTGCTGCACAAGGCACATGTATTAGAACAATTTCTTTTTTATATTAATTCATACTTAAGCCTCACATCAGCTATGAACAGAAACACTGGCAAATGTGTGTCTGTGTGTGTGTGTGTGTGTGTGTGTGTGTGTTAATTTCCTCCCTTCACTTCTGCTTTCCTCTGCTGTCCACCTCTCTCTCTGTCCCAGACTTCACTTGATTAAAAATTCCAGCAAACCTAATTTCACGCAATAAACGCATTATCCTAATCAACACTGATGAGTGGAGCATGCACCGGCGCACACATACGTGTGTGTGTGCATATGTGCCATTAAGACATTTCTACTTCCTCTGTGCTCATGGCTCATCAGTGGGGTAGAATAGACCCGTTTTTCATTAGCTGCAGCACAGCTTACACTCTATTCCCTCATTATTAATGATCACTCGCCGTGTGCATGTGCACGCAAGTGTCTATAGACATGCACCCGTGTGTGTGTTGGAACTAAAAAACTTCAATTTCTGTTCTCGGGGCTGCGATTACCATGTTTCACTTGCCAGCAGCTCACATCACACAACATTAAAGCTCACAATCTGCTTGATCACAGTGCAACTACCCACAATCCCATGTGCCTGTCTTGACGCTACAACAACACGAAGACGAATGGGCAGGAAGGGGCTGCAGTCAGCATACAAACGGCGACGGACGCTTTAAGCTACTCACTGATGATGTCATTAGTAAATCAGCAGAAATGGGCAGAAACAGTAGTGCTGTCGGTTTGTGTTGTGTTGTGTTTCCATGACTTGTGGGAACATTGACTTACATTTCACAACAATAATAACCACCAGCAACCTAATCTTAAAAACTAGACCTCAACCTACAATTTGACCCCAAACTTTACCTTGCTATTGAATGACTGCACATAAAGCATTAAGTTCTTACATTTTACCCCCTCTTGTTGCTGTGTAACGTTACCAAACACTTGCTCTTTATTGTTGTGACTCCTGTCAGTGAGCTGTGAATCACCCAACACGTTCTATGAGTATCCTGCTGTGTTCCGTTCAATGGGAACGTTGGTTCTACGTCTTTTCTTTTTATATGGTTATGACTCACTAACACGTATTTGCCTTTTAATCCTAATCTACTGACGCTTCAGTAACTTAACCACGGGACTGTTTTAAACAGCTCAAGTGAAAAGAATTTGCAAGATGGGTCGGTCATCTATTGGTCGGAAAAGATGACTGAACAATGAGATGAACTAGTTAGGAGAACTAAACCCTCGCAGTTTCATGCCAGTCATGTTGCAGATTTCAGCCATATCTGACCAAAATGTCATCACTTCATTTGTATGAAATGATCATAATTAGCACATGAATTATTGACTCATGGACAAAATCGTATTTTGTAAGGTCGCAATGACCTTTGACCATGAAACTCTAACCAGTTCAACCTTTAGTGTAACAACTGTACAGGGGACTGTTTTCTATGTGCTAAATGAAGAAATACATTATACGCTCATGGTGATCAGAATGTATGAAAAACGTTGGCAGTGACTTACAAACAATTATGGCATTTCCAGTTGCACTGTTCATTGTTCAGTGCAAAGCTCGGCAGCACTCCCATTCGAATGCGACCTGCACGGCCCACGACTCGCACACCCATTAGAGACACACCTGCGATCACACGCCTGCTGCTGCTCCTGTCATTTGACGAGATGAAGCCAAACGCAGCGGTGTGTAAGGTGAGCCGACGCGTTTGACTGACACACGTGGGGCAGGACGTCGGGGGGGGAACATAACCTGTCACCACTTCAGAAGAACACATTCTCTCCACACAGCTACGAATTCAGCGCTCAGTGTGCTGGCGACGCGCTGATTAGTTCGCAAATGTAACGTCATACCATGTTCTCTGTGCCCACGCTTTGCAGTAAAAACGCACACACACACACTTCTCCCCTTATCTCCTTTCTAATGGTACCAGGACAAAATCCCATTTACATGATTGAAATGGTTTATTCAGCTTCAGTTTGTCTTTACATTATTAGCAATTCTTTTGAACGAAGCAACAGTCTGTGTGTTTGACCAAGTGTGAGGGAAAAAATTATTAAAATATATGTAAAATATGGGAGAGAATACTTTATTGTCCTTCCTCTAAAGCCCACGTGCGTAGTGTTTATAGAAGCGTTGGCCATGTCATCGTGCCCTATGCCAAATGTTTGCAGAAGCCCTCTCCTGTGGCTGCGTGATCACAACCTACCGTCTATTTATACGCAGCCTCGCTATCCGTGATTGCAGCACCTGTAAAAAAGGCAATTTTACAGTCGCTGCGCTTAATCACTCAGCTGTGGGAGGGAAATAACCTGTACACGCAAGCTGAGACCTGCCTGCCAGCCAGCTCGCCGTGCACACCGATTATGTGGGTGTGTGTGTGTTAATTTCAGTGAGCTTCTCCAGCGGATTAATTCATAAAGTATGGTATGGCTACCAACAGGGTCTGCCCACGGTCTTCCCCCATCAGCATCAACATTCCCCCGTGAACATCGATCGGCACTTCATTTGGTGACTGGTGATTTGGTGACACCCCTTGAACAAAGACAAGCACACAGGTTCTGTGTGTGAGTGTGTGAGTGTGTGTGTGTGTGTGTGTGTGTGTGTGTGTGTGTGTATATGTGCACAAGTCTTGCTGTATTATTACAGTTAATTATCCAAAACTCAAATAACTCAAACAAATAAAAGTGCTTCGACAAAAAAGCCAGTTGTTTTTACCAAGCTGCCAAGCAGGGGTCAATTAGTATTGTGTGTTATATGTGTGTGTGACGCATCGTATTAATTGTTTAGCGCCCCATTCGTCTTATTAGGAATTTTATTACTGAATGTGAAAATAAATTAACGGTTGCTATTCTTGACTACATAATTCCCCTAATGGATCGGAACATGAGCTTTTTTATCTGCCTGTAGAATAATTATTTTCTTACCTGTTTGAGTTTCTTTAAGTCTTCATCCAACTCCAGATTGTCCAAGATGACAGCCACAAAAAGACTGAGCAAAATCTAAAGTGCAACAAAAGAAAAGTGCATTAGAACACAATGCTGCGTGTGAACACATTGCAAAAAGACTCTATACCCCCTCAACAGCGTTAGCGGCCTGCAGCTAACAGCGCTAACAGTGCGAGCAGCCGCTGACAGAACACAGGAAGCAGAGGGTGGGCGACCTCATAGTCAAGACATTACTCTACTAAATCTTCACATAGCTAATACTTGTTTGCTGTTATATCAGTGCTCTGAATATCAAATTGAGCACCTTTAAAAAAAGTTATCGGTTGTTTTTTTACCTCTTCAATGGATTGGATTTGATTCCCTGCCACTATTAAACTATTAAACCGTTGTGCCTCAGAGGAATAGCTATATTTATATGAGCAGCCTGTTGAGGCATACTTTGTCTTAAATTGGGTTCTGGTAAACTTTGACTCGACTTCTGCTCGGTGTGTGAACACATCGCAATATGTAAATGTCATTATCTCCAATCGGATTATTGATATGAGAGTTTCTTCTTCAAAAGTACAAAGTGTGCGTAGTAATTGCATTTGTTGCCTGTTCGCCTCTGGAGGACATCCTGTCCGTCTGGCTGAAGCGTGAGTCATCCTCACAACGTCTGTGTTGTCTGAACGCCCCCCCATATTAGAGGCCAAACCGAAATGTCGGCCCTTCTCACGCCTGCACGTCTGATTAGCTGTGATTAGATGTATCAATGGGAGCACGTCGACGGAGGAAGCTGATTGGATGCATCAAGAAAACCATTTGTGTATCCTTTGGGCCACTTATTTTTACCAGCACTGCTTTTACTGACTGAAATGATGTGACCAGAGTGAGTTTGCATAGAACACGGCAGTGACTTGTACACTTGGAACGGCACAGTGAGTTCCTCACCAGCGTTGCGAACAGATGGTAGAGGATGAAGTAAATGGCCACTACGGGAGCCCACATGTGACCGACAGCCACCAGAGTCTGGTCCATGACATCAACCCAGCCCTCCTGGGTTAGGATCTGGAACATGGACATGAAAGCCTAGATGGAGGAAAGCACAGTGAGAGAGGCACCAGGCCGGAGAGGACGAGTGATGAAGGGTGGGAGAGGACGACGGAGGCAGAAGGATCTGACATTTGAAACATGCTTCTTATCACAGGAGGGCCAATCTCCCTGATCCCTGGCCCCTCTGCCTCCTCCTTAGCCTCTCACCTCTAGATAACCAGCCAGCCCCCCCACCCACCACCACCACCCCCAGCCGCTCCAACCTGCTCCCACATCGCCCACGTCACCGCTGCTGAAGATAAACCCAGCAACAGGTTGCTGCCTGTAGGGGGAAGACAGCCAAACATCATTAAGCATGACGCGGCGCGCGTCTGTGTGCACATGAGGCACGGCCGGTGACGGAGAAGAAGGGAGGAAATGAGAGCGAGCACACAAGTGGCATCTGTTTACGTCCCGCTGTTCCTGGGATCGGTGAAATGTTGGAGATGGGGGGGGGGGAAGAAATATGAGGCTAACGAAGGAGAAAGCGGCTCGTGAGCACTTAGAAATCAAAGGATGTGCCACATCTGTCCACGCCAGCGCGCAGCCCATCATCAACAGCTGCTTGTCTGAGGGTCCCTGCGGAGCTGCTCGCATGACTTTATGAGGTCTCTACTTGGTGAATATGAAATTCTACCCGTCTGCATGTTTAATTTTAACATTCCAGCATTCCCAGAAAAGATCTCCTTTTTACCAAACATGTTCATGCTTGTAGGTTTCTTGGAGATAAGCAATGACCGAGTGACCGAAATGAGCGATTAGATGAATAATAAAGCGGTAAGAAAAAAAAAGGGAGCCAGTTATATGTTATGTTTGACTTGTTACATGTACGGATAGGCACTCGGCCTTTTCACAATAACTTTCCAATTTCACAGGAAGCTAGTTAATTATACTCACCACATCTACTTAAGTGTAGAGATTGTTGTTTGAGCAAAAACAAACAAGTGACTTGACTGAAGTATGCATGTTCCGTGTCACACACATGGACGTTCTCTTTTCATGCTGGGAACTGTCTCATGGCTGAAAGGCTGTTTTTGGCTTTACAAGCGACAGTTGTTCTGATTGGTTAATTAAAACCAGTGTGTTCGATGAATCACCCATCTGTGCGTAGCTATGACAAGTGGTGATGCATTTATGCACCGTTTACCTAAAAGAACACATATGAGAAGGCATCCAAGAAATAAGCTGAGTGGTTGAGCTGGTGCTCCTTACCCTGGGGAACGTGGTGAAGCGGTCCAGCTCCTCTACGAAGCAGAACATCTGCAGGCTGATGGCCGACATGACGATGAGGAGGCTGGCGGTGAACACCACCAGGCTACCGAGTTTTTTACCGGGGCCGAATATCTTGTACACAAAGTCCTCCAGAGCCGGGGAGATCTTGATCAAACGCACGACACGCAGCACCTGAGGGGGGAAAAGCAGTCACACGTTGCACCGTTTCTGTTCTTTGGGACAGTAGTTTGATAATCAAGAGGAAGAAAGAGGTGGTATTCTGAAGGAAGTTTAGAATGAATAGCGATTGTTATAAAATGGAAACACGCTTACACATTTGATTAAATAAAACTAAGCGATTGCATTAATGTTGACCCAGTGGTAGTGGCAATGATTTCGTCCCAAAAGCTAATGCACACTGGTCTGGCCTTGATCGGGGATCCAGAAGAGTGGCTATTGATCGAGCTCAGCACAGATAACCCCGGCCACAGATTTCTCTTCGCGACCCCGCTGGAAGCCAAATGAAGGACTATCTCCCATTCCCTCGACACGCAGCCAAATGAAAGAGACGGAGGGCGGTCTGGTCCTGCGAGATCCTGCAGTAAACTAATACAGTAAGAACACTGGCGGCATGATGACAGATGGGAACGGGAGGACACTATACCTCGCGGTCCTGACAGACCCTGATGAACACTGTTCATTTTACAACAGTTGCGAGCTCCGGGGGCCCGAGAGAAAACCATGAGAGGTCACCGAGGAGATGAGGTTGTAAACATGCTTCAGTTTTTTTTTGTCGAACGCATGAGAAATACACAGTAAGAAACACTTAAAATCCTCAAGAGCAAAATTTGAACTTTAAACTTGCGGTCGCAATAATGTATTCTCCGCCAGGAATGAGACGGCCAGCCGGAGGGCAAAAAGAGAACTGACCCCTTTTGAAAAAATACCAGCCAGTGTGTTTTATCGTGAGAGCCCGGATAAGGGCAGGACACGGCGTCTCGTCTCAGTGGAAACCACGGCGGGGACGAGAAGAAGCCAAGAGGTGTGTGTGTGTCGGGTTCCAGTGTCGTAGTCATTGCGTTATGACTTTAGTGATGTGCGTGTGTGTGTGTGTGTGTGTAACATTGCCTTCGCTTGCCCTTCACTCGCATTTATATACAACTAACTATTTAGTTGAAATACCGAAAAAAAAAAATGACTGTTTCAAAAGAAAGACAAAAAAATCTTGACTACTCATGCAGACATGAGATGAGCAATAAACAATTACGCCTAATCCAAACTAATTAATTGTACGAGGTGTTCCGGCTCGGGGCCAGCTGCGTGAGGAGGAAACGCGATTAACTGCAGACTGTTGTTGCACGGCTGATTCAAATGTGTGTTTTTCTCCACAAAGACTACTGTGCGCCTGCTACCAGTGATTGACTGTAAAGCATGCTGGGAGAATGGCGCTCCAGCTGTGTGCGCTTCTGGCTCCAGCCCCTTGCAAGACAAAGCAATGCTTAGCATGGAATTGAAGTGCATGGCGCGTCGCATTGTCGCCGTCACGGATATCCCATCCACAATGTTTAAACCTGTATTGGCAAGATACCAATACCTAGAATGGGATCTGTGCAGCCCCCGCCCCGTCGGAATTGTCCAAATATGACACAATGCCCCACCTGCCTAAACTGTTTTGTGCTGCTGCTGAAGGCGTTGATTAAAAAAAACGTTCTGCCGTCGGATGTTTAAATTGTGGCATTTGGTCCGGACTGAAAGACATACAATTAAATAAAGATCTGAAACAAAGCGTTGATTTTGTTTGTTTTTGGTACCTTCTTATACAGCAAACTTTTCTGATTCATGAAACCGCCTTAAGGAAAAATATCAACACTTATTAGAGTGAGGACGGCTCTTCCCAGTTGCATTTTAAATATTGCCAAAAGAAAACAATAAAGCTTTGCTTCAAATTAAAAAGCATTGAAAATGTGAGGAGAGAGTGAGACAGGGTCTGTGTACCGTGAGGGCTGATTAAGGACATTTTAAGGAGCTCCTTCCCATCCGATCTGTCTCAGACGTTGCATCAACAACTAAAGCGAGGTCCCACGGGGGGACATTTTGGACAGAGGGCAGCACTGATCTGGATGGATGATAATGCTACAAGGCAACATTGCCACATGGGTCACAAAGTTGATTTATTTGTCTGCATTTGGAAGTGCAAGAACTTTGTGGAAAGTTGATGTGATGCCAGTTTGTGCCAGTGTCTGTGTGTGAAGAAGAGCCGGATCAAAGGGACTGTGAAAAACTAACTAGCACGTCTGACGCTTTTGAGAGGACGGCTCAGAGAAAGTAATAACGCCAGAGTTTAATGTTAACGTTCCATTAATAGCGCTCATTGGCTAATTGTTAGTCTCCGAGGTGCTCATTGGCTCTATGACTTTTTAATCGAGAAACAACTGGTTCATAAATCAATGTGCCGAGACAAATCAGTTGACATGAACCTAGTGGAGTATTGAGATTTAAATGTCCGATCCGAGGTAATAAAAAACTGAAAAAAGTCGAAATACTACAACTGCCCTTTGGAGGACGGCAGATCACACATACAAATGTAAAGACCAACACAGAATGTATGGACCGCTGTAGATCACACCTACTAGATACGACTCTTAGCAAGTGTTTGCTTCACTTTACAGAATCATTGTGACTTTTCCAGCTCTTTGCCGCACATATGGGACATTTAGGACTTCACACCAATGCTCATTTTCATGCAAAATACTCTTTTCACTGAATATATCAAATGTCCCTCAAAAGGCGTCATGACTGAAAAATCACTTCAGCGGATCGCTCTGGTCAGTCACTTGTGGTGTCGGTACATTTAAAGCGCTTTGAATGAATAGTGGAGAGGTTTTAACACCGAAGAGTGATATGATTGATTCCTGCTGATTAATGCACGGTCACAGGAAAGAAATGTCTCCAAATGATTCACAGCTTCTGTTCCACACCACAATTTAATCTGAAGGGATGATGATTCAGTTCCATATTTAGGATGTTTGTTGACACAGGCATGCTTTTGTGCAAGTCCCCGCTGTAGAAATGTGTGTGTGTGTGTGTGTGTGTGTGTGTGTGTGTGCATACCTGAAAGTAGGTGAACTGAGAGTGGTAGAGGTCGGGGTAGATGTGCAAGGTGGTGCCCACCACCAACAGGGATTCAAACTTGTGCAGCGAGGAGCTGATGTAGCCGCTGAAGCCCAGACACCAGATTTTCAGAAGAGCCTCCAGGTCGAACAGCACAGTGAAGGCGACCTGGGGTGAAACAGGGGGGGACAGCAATCACCACAGCCAAAAAGACCATTTCTATGACAAGGACCCCCGCTGGTGGTAAATAAGAACTTCCTAAATCTACTCTTCAACAGGAGTACATTTCACAAGGTAAACTCTAAACTTTTAAAACATTTGACAGCTCTATTAACTGAAAAGATTTATCAAAATATACTCAACATTTTTAAAACAATGCCTCACTACTTTTGAAACTACTCAATACAGTAAATACAGGTTTTAAGCAAATACTGCGTGCAACGCAGCTTTTGAGCTACAGGCTATCGACGTGGAACCGAGCTGCGGCACTCGAGCTTGGGATGAACGAGTCCGTGGATAGATGTTGCAGCCTGCAGCGGGTAGAAATTGCCCGGACTAAAGAATGAACTAGAAGGCCGGCTCGACACTGTTTCAACCGTTCAGATTCGTCTGAAAGCGAAGGCAGAAAAGAACATCGAGGACTAAACTAAAAGGCCTGAGCATCAGGGCACGCACGACTCTCAGCCAGCAGCTACCTGCAGACTCTGAAGAAAATCCGTCCAGCTTCAGAAACTTCACAAAAGAGAGAATAGCCGTGCATTCTGTTGGTGCCGCAGGACGTCATTAATATGGATGAGCTGACCTTTGATCTTCCGCTCACTCGTACTGTGAATAAGAAAGGCGAGTACATCCAGCAGCTACACCACTAGAATGCAGTTTTTGACTTATGGACATCGAAAGACTTTGGGAACCAATGAAAGACGCCACTAAGTTACGTTATGGGAAGGTGTCGTGTTTTTGGAGCTCGACCCAGAGCAGGAGCTGGTGATCAGGATACCCGGTTCTGTGTTGCATCGATTTTTACCTCGCTGTTTGAAAGACTTTGGAGGAGCCCTTTAAGTAACTCATCAGAACGCTGTCTTCAGTGAAATAGAGCGAATGGAATTGGCACCTCACCAATGATTTCCAATTTCTGCATTTAGCTCAAAACCCAATGCCTCCATTTCCCCTTTTCTCTCCACAGCATCACTACAGATTGGAGCAAATCTGCAGATCGATGGCTGTATCATACGAGTGGACAGAGTGAGGGAGGGAAATGTTGTGTCTGTTTTGTTATTTTTTCTTTTCCCCTTTCTTTTCTTATCTCCCCCCCTCAGCTGTGTGTGTGTCTTTGTGTGTGTTTGCGTGGGAGTGGGGGTGGGGGGCACGAAGCGGACGGTCGAGGTGTTCACACTCTCTTTACCACCTGCATACTGATGATATCTAACCATGCACGGTAACACACACAATGCAGTGGTGCACAGTGTGCACCTCAAAACAAAACGACAAATAAATGAACAAATAAACATACAGAAGTTGTTGTTAATAATAATAATAATAAAACTGCCCATTATTCCATATTGATGATTATACAAGGGCATGGACTGGACATTCTCTGGTGTTCTAAAATCCTCAGTTGTAACACTTCACAAAAGTAGCAATATCATAAAGCATCTCAATCCTGATTAATACCAAAACAGACTTCAATACCATGCAGGGTACAAATGAAGGACATCTACCGAGACCAACCCTTTGTCTGTGTCCTTCAACAGGCTTTTAACAAAAGATAATCTCATATTGTTTGTTATCTAATCACACAAATTAAAACAAAGCTTTTAATTAAAGCCTTGCTTGAAGGGGTTGTGTCAATGTTAAAACCAGGTTGGAGGTTCACAGTTGGGAGTAAAAAAAATTAAAAAGCCATCGAACGAAGGACAAAAAAGAAAACTCACCTCTGCCAGGTAAAACTCGTCATAGTGCCTGCGGTAGTTCTCGCCTTTATAATAGTTGCTAGCGGCAACAATGACGTCCACGGCGACCATGCTCAGGATGAACATGTGGAACACGGAGGACCGCATCAGTTGCTGTGGAGACAGAGCAGCGTCGATTGCAATCAATGTAATTGCAATGTACATTGCAATCAATGTAATTGCAATGTACATTGCAATCAATGTAAATTGCACATGACGGGCGAAGAGGAAGGAAGAGGTGTGTGGGAGACGGACGGCCATTTTTATTTCGTTTTCCATTGAACTTGACTGTTAGAAACATTAACAATGCAGGGATGATAAGACATCTCAACTCTGCCTTTGCTTGAATGTACATTTATTGTTAAATCCATCAAGAGCATAGAATCAGAATCAAAGCCGATTGCCACGTACGTTACACATAGAGGAATTTGTCTTGGCGTTTGGTGCTATATAAGAATACATTAAATAAACAGACAATGACAGCCAGATATTCAGAGACAGGATGAATATTGATTTGACTTGGAGGGTCATAAGATCACACGCATGTGGGATACATGTGGGAGACATGGGTTCGTTTTTTTTTGAGCAGCCCGCCATACACATATACTACAGTAGGGTATGTTACAGGGTGGAAACAGGCAAAGAGCAAAATGTCAGGCAATTCAAAGCAATCAGAAGCCGTTCTTGGTCGACGGGAGAAACATCCACCCAGACGACACAATCAGAGTGCATTCAGACGCAAGTAAAGGAAAGGGCCGAGAAATGTATGCGGTTTCCCGTAGGAATCGCAAGGGCATTGAACGCCTCCAACAACACCACATAATGGAAACATTCGGGATTGGGAAAGAATGGGAGGGAAAATACCCCCCAACCCCCTAAAAAAAAAAATATGCATGTGTGTGGCATATTGAACAGCTTGAGAGTGGGTGGAATAGCTCACCCTAAAAAAAGACTTGCATGCGAGAGTGTAAATCGGAAGGATTGAAAAAGTGAAGAAAAGAAAAAGCGAGGAAGACGGAGGGCAGATGAAGAGTGTTTGAAGCGTTGCTGGAAAGATCAGATTCGCTCCGGGATAATGGGACCACTGCCATCTACCCTCCTACACACAAATACACTAAAAGTGCAAACTCCTCAAGCTCGAAAAACCCTGATGCACAATTGGTAACCAGAGAAAAAGTTATAATGACAGAACCTCATATACACATAATAATCTGATGGAGCTTTGAAGTTGATTAAATATTGTATTGATTTTTTTAATGGGAGCCAAAAAGTGTTAAACCAAATCATACTATAGAGATTTAGAGAAGAGTGATTAAAAAGTTCCAATCCCAATTCCCTCCCTCAAGGCCTCAGAGACTGAGGCTGCGTGAGGGGTTGGTTCTGTCCCACAGTCACACTGTTGAGAGTTTGAGGCTCTTGGACAGACATTTTGAGCCGTTTGGGAGCATTAGCATTAGATGGTGACTACACATGTAGTTAAATTAGTTAAATTGTGGATGCAATAAAAACCTGTAAAATGGCTGACTCTTTGATTTGGCTCCGGTTCTTTGCCGTTATCTAAGCCTAGCTGGCAGTCCGGACCAATAATGTATGCTGCTAGTCTTTGGTTATAGGATTTTATTCTTATTTTGCACAGCTCTACCCACACAGTGGTTACGCTCAGTGACTGAGATTGTGGCGTGTGCGTGTGTGTGTGTAGTGTAGTGTGTGCGTTATACTGTATCTATCTGTGCATGTGGGAAACCGGGAGAAATAGAGGAAAACTGACAGAACAGAAAGTGGATGCTGTGCCTATGAATTGGTTTTCAAGGTCCAGACTTTTCCCCGTATTTTCCCGTCAGCTTCTGGGGATCAAACAGATACAGTCTGCCCATCAAAGCTTTGCCACAAAATCCCTTTTTAAATCTGTTTTAAGATGGGCCTCCATGTTGCCCCAAAGCTAAAATGCCCAAATTCCCCAAATGCATCTGATAGCACTGGCTCTCCTTATGTGGCGTCCAGATGTCAAAATACATGTGACAACATTTATTGTGGACCAAAATTCCCCAGCTGTTTTGTGTGATGTAACGGAGCTTGTGCGTCTCTGGAATCGCGTTTGATGGATTATATGGATATAGATTCTAATATTAAATCCTAATAAATGTCAATATTTGTGTTTTTGAAATATGTATTGTACCCAGTAATATTAATATAATATGAGTCTATTTAAATATTATATTCTCCTGCCGTCCCTGCCTGTCATACGCACGTCCTGTCTTCATCCTTAAACAGACTTGGTCTGGGGGAAACCCAAGCTTGCACGTTCTCTTGTCAGGTACATTCCTGACATCACCAAAAAGGTCACTGGAAGGTTTCCCACTCAGAAAGACCGAAGAGCAAAATTCCTCTTCAAATAATCATAAATAAACACGTTCTATTATATATGCAGATATACAGCTATTGAAATGCAGAAATGTATTTTTGACACCTTTACTTAACTATGCGCGAAACCATCCTGGGATGTTCGCTGACATTGATTGGTTAGCCCTACCTAGAACATTTTCTGGGCATGACCATGTAAATTCTGCGAAAATACAGCAAGCACTCGCTTGTATGAGCTTATAACATTTTTATGTGCAAAATAAAAAAGTTGTGTACTGCGTTTATTTTAAAAGTAATATTAAATGCATAAAAGTGTAATAAGAAATTTGATGATTTGATTGGTGATTTTAACAGGAATATACCGTTTACACAATAGCAGTTCAAATATTCGTAAATCTGTTTTTTTTTAAAGAAACCAGCAGCAACATTTATGTTTTCTCAGGAGCAGCATAAACAGTATGACAGCAGGAGATCTGGCAAAGTGAGAGCCTCTGGCTTATTAAAGGCCTGATGCAAGCGGGCTGACTCATGTCTCTGGCCGGGAAAAACAGCTCTTAATAAAACATGATGGTCCGCATGTCTGCACCCTCCAACTCCTACTAATATCTGCTGTGCTCCACCACCTCTGTGTCCGTTTCAAGTCTGGCTGGAGTTTTTATGTCTTTTTAGCATATGTTGTATTTGTGCATCTGGCTGATTGCAGTCCAGACCGATACAACAATCTGACACAGTCGTGTTATGAGTTGAGAGCGTTGATTCCACAGGGCGGGTCACATCTGTTGCAGATCATTTTGTATATAAACCGCACAAAGACACTGAACACATTCGCCGTCAGTAACAATAATTCCACTGTGATCAATCTCCTTCTCTTGTTTGCTTGTTTTTCTTTTCTCTCCAGACACTCTCTCTTATGTACGTGTCTCCCACACAGAGAACATCTGCATGTTGTGTTTGCATGTGTGTGTGACGAGAGGTGTCAACGGGAAGAGCCAGAGGCCAAAGATGAGGGGCAGGGCGGGGGAAAGGAGGGCTCCACTGCTGGCTCCACTGCTGGCTTGGGACGGGAGGGATTAAAAAAATAAAAAAGTCATGCTACTCTGTATTTAGTAAGTGGTTTAGAGCTCAGACCGGGTCAATGAGTGTGTGCACCAGCTGCTCATTACCAAAGAGTCCATGCTAAATTCCTCTGATGCGTCTGGTTTGCTAGTACCAAAGTAGCATTCATCGTCATTTCATTCCCTGCCTTTGTAGTAGGGTTTCTCTATACTGCAGGTGAATACATCGAGGACCTTTAGTCAATCCGAGGCAACAAGACACCCTGGATTGGTTGTCCACCTTGGATTGGTCGCCAGTCCATCGCAGGGCTGTCACAGAGACAGACAACCATTCACGCTACACCAAAGGGCAATTTAGAGCCACCAATTAACCTAAACTACCCAGATTGAACCCTCGCAGACACGGGAGGGGACAGGGAGTCAAACCCAGGATCTTCTTGCTGTAAGGCGCCAGTGCTAACCACCAAGATAATGTAACAAGATAATGTGAAAGTGGACTGGCGTCAAATTGGTGTGATGCATGATAGACTTCCTGTGGACAATTATTTAGTAAATTAGTTATCAACCGACTAATGGATTAATGAAACCAGGCAAACAGCAGAGAAGCTCGCAGCTAAACCAATTGACGCAGTGCAGACTTACTGGGAAACTAGCGTTTGTTTCCACGACAACGCATGAAACATCGCGGATGCTAACTCTTCCACATGGGGGAACTGGGGAATTTGTTGCCGGTATTGCGAACACGCTGCTGCCGACAATAAATGATGGATTTATTGTGTTTGTGCATCAGGTGTCTCTGCAGCTGGGCGGCTTGGCAGGCCCTTCAGCCACTCCTCACTGCATGCAAGGCACTGATCTTGTCTGCTAATAGCTAATATTGAAGCCTCGAGCTGAGCAAAATGGACAACAGTATTCAAACAATGGGATGTGGAGAAGTGACATATAGACAGCGTAAAGCTCTGGTGGCAGAGCCACCTGTCAATCAAAGTAAACCCGCCCTATAGTATACTATGCCTTATGCCGTATTTTTATTCTAAATGAACATCATGCTGTATTGAAGAAGCAATTGAGACAATACACTTTGTTTCAAAATGTAGTAGTAGTCATTTTCTCATTGACTTCTAAATTTTTTGAACCCTAAGGAGTCTCTACCTGCTGGTCAATAGAGAGAATGCACGTTTTCAAAACCCTCCTGCATTGGTTTTACTTGGGTTGGGTCCATGCTAAACGATAATAGACTTATACAATTATCGATTCTGAATGGACTTTATAAAAGATTTAGGCTCCAAGTTATGCCAACGCATCCTCCCTTAAGCAATGAGTTCAAACCAAGTACACTTGCCTGTGAGATGTGGCTCTGCCCTAAGCACCACTCCCTGAGGTCTGTCATATTGAACTCTGTCATAGCAAGTCAAACCGCTCGGGCCGTCACACTCTGCACTCCTCGAGCAAAACTCCTCACTTCGGCTTGGAGGTCGTATGGTGGCGGTGTATTGTGCTCTTAGCAGCAGTCACAAGAATAATACTGGTAGCTCTCACAAGCACCAACAGCCATCATTGCTGCAAATAGACAGCAGCAGCTTAAGTTTCTCAAAACCCCAAATGGATTAAATACATTTGTAACAGTCTGGTCCGAAAACTGAATGCAAATTGGGATGAAACACTTAAGCCTGCATCAAAGTGTCTCAAGTGCGGGCTGAAGGCTCTTTGAGGGCTATTTTGTTTTGTAGCGCCTTCAGGACGGGAAGCTGCCGTTTCTCGTCCAAAAGGAGCAGGTGGTTAATCAATTACATGTTATCTCCAACTGCTGCAGCCCGACGGAACCGACGAGACCAGACCTACAGCCACAGATGGAGGGACGTAAACGGGCGGATCGACAGGTTCATAGTCAACAGATTGACTCAAATCGGCGTGACGCTCCAAGGGCCGGCGGTCTGCGGATATGGAGCCCACCAGCCGGCTCTTGAAACATTCGCATCATTTGACGTCCAATTACTGCGGAGTCAGTCAGTGCAAAGCAGAAACTCACATCCCACTTCCTGGGCACTGCCGGCGTAATATGACGAGTCTTCCTCATCATATACTAACGCTCATGAACACATGCAGTGACCAGGTGGTAAACTGATGGCCATGGTCTGCTCTCTAGATTCATCCCCTCAGTGAACATTGCAAACATGACTTCATGGTCTGATGTCTATTTAGTAAATGAGGGTCAATTTGGAGTCAAATGAATCCTACGGCGGGCTGACAGCTGGGTTTCATCATGTGTTTTTTCCGACAGCGTCATAAGAAACTAAACCCTTTCCGAGTGCTTTGGTGGCTTGAGATGCCACGGATCGCCGTCAGTGCATGACTGGCAAGCGAACACAACGAATTGACCTCTGAAATGCAGCATGTCCCGATGCATGTCAAACCCCTCCCTCAGCGCCATTCGGCTTTCACTCTACTTGATTATTATTGGCCTCAAAGTAGGACGGAATCTAAATGACAACAAAGGTACTTCAATGTCGCACTTTTTTTCAGCCAATATCTGTAAAATTGCAAGATGGCTGTTAAATGTTTGGGTGAATATTTGAATATTCTGTCAATACAAAAACATTCAGAAACGACTTGCGGCACAATCTGGTACAGTCCACAGCCCATCTGCCTGTTCATTCTGTTCCAAATCCACACATTTTTACCCAAGAACTCAAATACACATTACGTGTATTTGCAGCTCTTGCAAGGAGCTCATCCTGCTTACGGGGAACACTCAAAACCAACATAAGGTCAACAACAAATCCAACCGTTTTCAATTCTTGGAATGTATTGTGATTGACACGAATGGAAGTACTCCCACAAGAGGGGGGTGCGGCGAGGTTGGTTAATGCTGAGCCTAAATTAGGTCTAGGTCTAAATATCCCTTTAAATCTGCACGAGTAGCACCTCCGTGAAGTAACATACAGAGTTTAGAACTGCAAATCATCCATCATAAACCCAAAGCATTATTGTTCCTCTGATGATCATATCAATTTGGCCTATTAAAGGGATTCTGGGTTGGACAGTGAGGAAAAGCAGTAGGATTAACACGTGAATCTACATAAGTATTGCATCAGGAGAGCCAAAAAGTAAAGGGAAATACTGAGGAAATAATCTTTCATATAGATTTCTGGGATCACTGGCAGAGAAATTGCTGTGAAAGTCTAATCCCATGTCTAAGCGCTTGACTTAAAGGTCGCACAAACACGGTCTGTCCCCCCCGAGCTGTGAAGGGAGGTTGCTCAAGTGTCCACACACCCATCCCAACACAAGGACCTGCAGCTTCTGTCCATCACGGAGACTGTGGCCCCTTCCTTTCATCGGCATACCTCTCTCCAACTCTGTGACATTAGCATGAAGGTTTTTGTGTAACACCGGTTCCACTATGAGACTCTGCTGGGGTTCAAACGAACAAATGACGAGATCATTTTCCCTCTCTTCATTTCTCTCTTTTTTATACGGCGCTTTTTCATGCGTCAGGCTCTCTCTCACGGGAGGCCATCCATCAAAATGTCTGGGCTGCTGCCCGGACCCCAAACACTCCATGTGATGGAGGTTTAAGTTGCTCTGCAGTCTGAACACCCAAAAAGACGCGTAACTCGGCCCGCCTCACAGGAGGTCCGCCCCCTGGAGGCTGCGTTCCCACAGTCACAACAGGGTTCGTCCTTTTTCCCACGCCTCCCCTCGCGGCGGGACGACCCGGGCCTTTAGCAGCGTGGTGTATGCGGTTTGGCCCCGGCTGGCAACGTTTGGGCGGCGAGCCGAAGTTCTGCTTCTGGCTGCAGGTGGAGACTTGGATCTGAACTGAAGGAAGTTCTAGTGTACATGCATGCAATTGCATGGAGATCTGGCTTGTTGCACCGCTAACGAGCATTAAGAATAATGATTTGAAAAAGCCAATCTTCTCTCGGATTGTCTCGTTTACAGATGTAAGTCTTCAGAACCAGTTAATAGCCGCAATGGAAGAGTCCGTCAGTGTGTAAGTAAGTCTAAATAATAACCTCTTCCAAGTAAAAAAAAAACGGCAGCAATCCTTCTGCCTCCTCCACAACTGCAGCATTGTGTCACTGGAACACGTCAATCAACAGGAACATGCACGTGAACATAAGCGTCAGGTAATGAAGCGTGTAGATAGATGATGTCAAAATTTGCCAAAATCCCCCCTTATTGTTTCCTCGCTGTGGGAAGCAGCCGTCTCGTCGCCAGGGACGCTTTGTCTTTTCGACACTGCAGTCGGCCTCAGCAGGGACCTGATGACTCCTGCCAATCAGTTTCCTGGCATAAGAAGACAGTAATCGCCATTTTTGAGAAGCCTTTCAGGGTTCCCCGTATCAGAGCACAGGGCTTGGAGGCCCGTCGGCCGTGTTTACCCCTCATCTAGATCTGCCCTCCAACTGAGGATGAGGCTCCGGGGTACGTACGGCGTTAATGGGAATACTGCATATTTTGCGTTCCTCCTCTTCCGTTCCCTTCTTCTTTGCTCCCCGTTTCACAAAGCCTATTGGCTCCATCGCTTTGTGTGTGTGCGCCTCAACTCTGGACCAGCGTTGCCGCCACCAGGGGTCGTTGACAGCTCCCTCACGTAGCTTGTGGATGCCGCCGGCGGTACCTCACAGCGAGGGCTCAGCCTTTTTACACCGCACCGCTCTCAACAGGGGGTTGTGTGGGGGCCGCGAGTGAAGCCTGCTGCTTTTAGCTTATCTGGAGAGCGCAGCCATTTGGATCACAGCGACCACGAGGCGACGCAGACGTCCGCGGCGTTTGAGAAACGCATCCGTCGCCAGAGGGACATCGTTAGCGGAGCTCTGCACATCAAAAACAAGCCTCCCCTCGTTCAAAATCCCATCATTTAGCCGCCCGACAAGGCCAATGAAGGCCCAACGAGGTGACAGCACGGGCAACTGTGGCACTTGTTAAATAGATGAGGTCTGCTGATTGTCCGTCAATACAAAGCCTTTCAACTCCCAGGGAGAGGTTTAAATAATAGGACGCTCCACGCTTACAAAGTCAGGTTTTATGGTACAGGTAAGATTAAGTTCATGTATGTTCAGGTGTCATTCTCGACACAAGCTGAACTGTGCACGGCTTAAACATTTCACAGCCGCGGCGGCATATTGATTATGCCGTGTGTTTACCTGGAGGCAGGCGGGTGCGCGGCCATGTGGTTTGTTGACGTCCACGGCGACGAGCTGCCACCCCCCAGCAGCGTCCTCGTGGAACATCTGTGGCACAAGGACAGCGCATGAGGGACGGAAACACGCACGGAGAAACATCACACCACTCAAAGAACCGGCTAAAACTCAAACGCACACATTATGCCCTTGGCTACATCTTCATAAAACATCTGCGGCCACAGAAAAGAAGCTGAAGGCATCACACACACACAGTTATACCCACACAAAGGCAGGGATGATAAATACAGCATGTGGGCCTTAGGACCGAATGACAGATATAAAAAACAAACCAGCATCACAGCAGAGAGTGTCAGACTCACAAGACAGGTGGCTCACTCACCAATATGTCTTTCTCCTTGAAGATGATGGCAACATCTGAGCAATAAGCGTGCCGTGCCGTTCATGTCATACTCCGTTAACTCTGCAGATGCGTTATAATAATGTGTACCATCTTCTCTGTCGTAACGTAGCATTTTAGCATGCTACCATTTGCAACTAGCAATAAAGGATTATGTATATGGTATTTTGTCATAAATATTGGTGGAAATGCACACATTCCAACAAACAACCGTTTCACTCAAAGCAAAGAGGCCTCTCATTAAAGAGCTTAAAGGAGGATTCAGGGGTAAAGTCTGATATATTCTCTGGGTTCCCTGAACGTTTTTCTTTTTTTTAAATCCTACATTCTAAATCTGTGAATGTTGTTAGAAGCCACAGAGCAGAACATTTTTGCATGAATGTATTTTTAAATCCATTAAAAAAGTTGCGTCATCCATCAAATTGAGCCAAACTTGAAGGTTGTTAAAAAAAGTTTTAAAAAAAAGGTCCTTTGATCATCCCGCCTCATTTGTCAATAAACTCTTTGATTTAATTCTGAACCTTCCCCATCCTCTGTTTCAGCATCACTGCCGGGCAACACTGTGGTGCCAAAATCCTTCACCTGCTTTCATCATCTCGCATTTAGTTCAACATGGAAAAGAAAATGTGTTCCCCGTCCTTGATGCCACACTCCCAGGGTTGATACAACTCAACAGAAGCCAAATTAGACGCATGGCCTTAATTTGAACTCCAAAGAAACACAGGACAAAAATATATGGATTTAACATTGTTATTTCATCAGACAAGGCACAGCTCGATCTCTATTAAGAGACCCGGTAATCTGGCGAGTTGAGCAGAGTCAAGGAACCGGAATTGTGGGTTGTGACTCCCAGGGGCCTCCAGCCTTCCTCCCCTGGGAGCAGGAGCAAGGGACCATATTGTTTTAGTCTCTGTGATTGACAGTTAAGTGTTGCACCACAGCTAATTAGTAAGATAAAGATTGGGGCATGACGATGTGATAACAATTCATTCTGATAATGGAAAGAAAGGCTAATTGTTTTCAAGGTCGTGGCGGTATAAACACGCCAGTGGCACCAGCCTGCTTCGCATCACCAGAGAGTGGCGTTTCAGTGTCATGACTTTCCAAGTTCTATAATTCCTAATAAATAAATGATATACGTGATTAAAATGAGTAACTAAGAACAGTTTATTAATTGTCAGGCCAACGTTATTGCAATAGTAATAAATTGTTTAAATTGGTATGATTTCTTAAGTAATTCCAATCCAAAAGTATCATTTCATATAGCGTATAGTTCCAGTTAAAATATCTTCAAAATACCAAAGAAGAACCATGCACTTACCCACAATATTGATTTTCTTTTTTTTGCTACATTTCTTAGCATTTTAATTGGCTGCTGTCGTATATAAATAACACAACACCTTATGTCATGTTTTATACTTTCGGTGAAATCAGCTGTGAAACATGTTAAATCACTGATGTTCTGTCTCTTCATCTTTCACTTGCAAACCTTTTTCTCCCACTCTTTGGATCTGCCCTGCGTCAAACCCAGCTCACCCAACGCCTTCGTGTCAACTTGTGTTATGGTAAGAATGTAGGATGCAATCAAGTGCCTGTTGCGTCAAGTATTGATCAGGACAACGATCATCCTGTAAAGGAGATGTAGAAGACAGCTAAATGTTCCCACTTCTAACTGAAGGCTGTGTGGCCTGAATGATTGGAGAAATATATATATATATACACACAATATAGAATTAGCACCCAAAAAACTATCAAACCTATATTTATTTTATTGATCCTTCACCCAATTCAATTCTTCATGACTTTGAATGTATTTCCAGGCTACAAACTGTCAGTATTCCCTATTATCCTTCTCTAGTATGTACCCATATGTGGCCTATTATCAGGAGTAGTACATTGCCTTTCAAATTCCATATATGAACCAGTAAAATGTTACTTGATTCTACAAAACAAAGATGAATCTCTTTGAATACAAATATCTTTAATGGTAGTTAACATGGGTTGTTACTCACTTAGTGGCTCATGTTGATTCATTAACAGCCTAAAGTCTTAGTTATCTTAGCAAGGAGGATCGCAGCAGTTGGAATCCTGGGATTGAGTCATTTGCTTCCATCAGAAGGAGGGAAACCTTTTAGAGGCAGAATTCCACAGGCCTCAGACTCTGAGGAGCCAACTCTCGATCCAAACTATTTCAAAACTAAGCAGCGCAATTTGTACGTGCCACTCTTAAGTCGCCAAAGCGGACACGCTCTACCCCCCCCCCCAGCACCAAAAACCGGCAACTGTAGCACCTTTCAGCGGCCGATTCTCCGGTAAGTGAAGGCATTTATTGATGACCGCGCACTCTCGGCGCCCTGAAGAAGGCCATTCCTGTCCAAAGGCATTTCAGCCCATTCCTTTGATTGCAGAATTCATGCAGCTTTGATGAGCTGAACTCTGAGGAATAACTTTTTTTTCTTCTTTTTATTTGTCCTTTACTCTGTCCCAAGATGACCGGTTTTTAAGGAAGCCGGAGTTGAAGGAATGTTTCTAATCAGGTGAGAATAAGCAGCCACCTGAAGTTGAGCGTGACAGTCGTACCTGTGTTGTAGCGGTGGAGGTGGTACTGCTCCTTGACCCCCACATCTGCTGAAATTGCACCCTTATCTCGGCAAAGGTCTCGATGATGACTGCGATGAACACGTTCTGTGCGGGGGGGGGGGGGGGGGAGAGAAAGAGACGGGGGAAGGGGGGGACAAACCGCTGTGGCGATTAAAACGAAATGGCAAAGGGCAGGTCGGTCTCTTGACTTCCTCTAACTATCCGTGATGGGATATTCCTTCTCTCATCAGCCAGAGAACATTCCCCTAACAAGCCGATGTGGTTGGGTCTGCAGGTGAAAGATTAGGTTATGACAATTAACTGAAACCTTTCGTTGTGCAGCTGCCGCGCCACGGGAGCCGAAAGCATCGGCAAGAGTGCAGTGCAGAAAGAAAGAGGGGGTGGGGGGGCTGGCTGGCTCTCACCTTGACCAGCCATGCCAGGAAGAAAATGAGGGTTATGAAGTAGAAGTAGGAGCGCCAGCGAGGGAAACTGTCGATGGCTCTGTACATGAGGAACACCCAACCCTCCTGCGATGCCGCCTCATACACGGTGAAGATGCTGGTACCTGAAACGAGGACAGACGGGCGAGTCAGAGGGATGTGCAGTCAGATGAAAAGCACAGATTGGCAGAGTCGGCCTTCTGCCTCGTGAGCTGCGCGCCAATTATCACGGCTTCCTTCAAACGAAGTCTTTGAAAAAAAATGACAACACCTCGAGTTTTTGTACGATGAAAGTACGCTCTGACAGCCTGTGAAAAACACAGCACTCCGGTATCCTCCCTTCTTTGTAACGACAAGACTTTGGATCCTAACTCAAGCGGACGCAGGCTCATTAATCTGATGAGATCATCTGCAACGCACGTCTTTGTCGCCGTCAGCAACAAATCGGATCAGATTTAGCTCACCAATGTTAATTTCAAAGTTTCACTTTGTCTCTTTTATCGAGTTTGATTAAATGTATTTTGACAACAATCAATGACATAAAATTATTTTTATTTTATTATTTTTGTCCATGGAGTCGTTGATGAGTACATATTATTTATTTTCATTTACAAGTCAACAAGGGCAAAATCAAAGGCTAACTTTGACCCGACCAGAGGCCAAGAACTGTATGTTGATATAGTGGAGGCTGAATGAAAGGTGCTTACATCACTGTCTGGTGGCTTTGAGTTATGTAGCGTAATAATTTAAATAACTGTCTTTCTGTTGGCTATGTATATTATTTATTGGCTTAAACTTACGTCATGTCAAGTTTCCACCACGGACCGAGGTGGAGTCAATAAAAAGTCATTTGTTATTGAATCCAACATAGAGACAAAAGCCAGATGTTAGCAGTTGTTATTGGGGGTTTCTTTCCATTTGCAATAAAAAAGTAAATCTTTAGGAAAAATGCATTTTGTGTGAACAAACATAGTAAAGCTGTATCCTAAATGAAGTATTTTAAGAGGTGAGATTGTTATGAATCTGTATACAAGGCACATAAGCACCACAGTAAAATTCCACTAATATTTAGGAAGTGTGTTAATGAACCAAAGCGCTTGGGCTGTAAATTGCACAGAAAGCTCCACGTTCCAGTCTATAACATCTGAATCAAGGCGGCATTTAGTGTCAAGTTCAACTGCATGTATATCTACATGTGTTCGGATGCATTAAACGTGTGCAGCTCATACCCAGTTCATTGAAGCCACTATAGCCGAGCTCCTGTCGGCTGAGGCCCAGCTCCTCCAGGTCCATGCATTTGAAGCCGTGGGGGCACTGGTAGCCCTCCCCATCAGGGGAACAATGGGTGTCTGGGATGGCCAAGCTGTTCCATGTCACATTGCTGACAAAAAAAAGCAACAGTAATTAGAAAATACATGTAAATGGAATCATTATATTTGAAGAGGTACAAGTCATCCATTGTGATCTGTGTCATCTCAACATTTGATTATAATTGGCTCTGTAATGAAATTGGGGGGGGGGGGGTGATAGTAAAAGTCCAATATTTATGGTCAGCTACACATTTGAAATGAGCACATTTCACGCACACATACCCAGATGATTGCTGCCTGCCCACACACACACACACACACACACACCCTGTCACAGGTGTTGTTCCTGGAGCTGCATGATTCCTCTAATGAAAATGAATGCCTTGAAATTGGCTGCCCAGACATCCACACTGATTGTTTATTAGGGGTTACAGGATCAGAGGGGATCATTTATTGCGCTCACAAAGGGCAATCAGAGGCACAGTGATGAATCCGATGGTGATGCTTTCATGCCGGAGCTGAATGACACCAATGCATCTTTTCAGATGAGGAGATAAACGAAGCCTCGGACGAGAGACCAAACGTCCTGCAATATTAATAATTTGGTGAGGCAAATGAAATAAATGCCGTGCTTGTGATAATAAATTATACAGAATTGTTTTTTGATCAAACCAAAAGTGATTTGTAATCCTTTGAATAATTGTCAACAAGCCCTGCCCATCTCAGCCAACACATTATCAGTGGTTGTAGAATGGGATATGCTAACAATACTAGCAAGAATACAGAGGAATGTTGAAATACTTATTTTCCTCTGAAATCTTAATTTGAAATGAACTGGTTCAAAATATGAAATCAACTTCAATCAAATCCTTTCATCTAACATCCATACCAGATAATGACCAAAGAAAACTCCCTTTTGTGTGAAAAGTAGCACATTTCATTTTCATCTCAGCACACTTTTGGAATACATCAAAGCTATGAATGTGACAACGTCGTGTGATCGTTCCTGCTACCAAAGTTTGTCGCTGCACGCCGTGTCCCTTTGGCGGCGAGGATGTATAAAGGGAGGCAGATGGGGAGCTGTGACGCAGGAAGGAGTTCAATACACTGAGGCTGGACAACGTAGGAATTCTTTAATTACCACAATGAGTGTCAACTCTCCCTGCAGCTTTAATCATGCAGGTCGCTTCCCTTTGTATCTCCACAGGGATTCCTGTTCTCTGTGTCATACCACCATCCTCAACCGGACGGCTAAAATCAGATGTGTCAAAATGCATTAACACACTGGTGATTCCTCTTTAATTAGACAAGACAATTAAAGATTAGGGCGGTTTCATTAAATATCTCAATCAAATGTTATTTAATGAAATATTTTTAATATTTTAATAATATATCATATATTGACCCAAAATCAACACTATATTATTGTTAAGGAACATGACTGTATTTCGCCATCCGCCCACAAGTTGTTGTGCACCCAGCTGCAATGATGTGCTAAACACTAATGCTCAAAATCACAATAATTCATCATAGCGCCATTGGATGTGGAAAGAATGTGCGACTCCAATGCGAATTGAATGTAAAAATGTAAATGAGTAAGTAAAGCGTATTTATACAGCGCTTGTCGCAGACAGAATTCACAAAAGTGCTTAACTATAGAGAGACAAGAAAGAACAAAACCATAAAACACAGCATAGAAACAGACTCAGCAGACCATGAGGGGGCAGGCAGAGGTTCCATAACTCTGCCTGTGAAGTGATCTGAGTACGGAGGCTCAACGAAGGCCACAACAAATGAATTAGGAAAGACCAGACGCAGTCAGGATCTGAGACTGCAATGCTGACACTCAGGCTTTACTTTGCTGTGATTCATTAGAGCCGGATGTCACAACGTGGGAAGGAAAGAGGACAAAAAAATGAAGTTTAAACTTCAAGCACTTTTTAATCAGTGTCTCTGTGTAGCTGAGCTTTCACACTTAATGTACTACCGCGGCATGAGCAGGGGGAGGCTGTTTCTCTCAAAGGAGAACGCCACTGTTGCACCATACTGATGTAAGTTCTGATGTTAGATATTACCAATTCGGCCTTGTCTTTCATTATAAAAATGTGCAGTATTGACTTGATTTTAGTTTAGCTTAACAAGGCCAAAGGTCTGTCGCTGTCAGAAACCTCTGATGATCCATCTCTGGCTCGTGTCATTGTAATTGCAACGAACAGCCCGGCCGTACAGATAGTCGTCATGATATGGGTTTGGTTCTAAAAGCTGTTTCAGAATGAAACGGATTGTTCGGTCACAGCGCAGAAATTGCAATTCGCTGCGTGTTAAACGTGTAATACATTTGTTAACGTGGACGACGGAGCGAAAGAAGAAGCACTTCACTGCACGCTTTCTGCTCAAGCTGAACCAAACAAACGGCTGAGCAATAAGAAAAGGCCAAGCAAAGAGAATGGAGAGAGAAGAGCCAGACTGTAATATACTGCAATATAACTTGAATGTGGAATCGGGTAGCTGGGTGCAGTGCATTCAATGCTAAAGGTTCCATCGAGCGTCTTGCTTGTGCAGAGCCCGGCAGAGTGTGAGAGAAGCCACCTCTGCTAATCAGAAATCACAATATTAGCAAAGCAAAAAGCCCTCATCAACAACATCAACACCGAGGCCAACGACACATATTGACCATATGCTGGCTGTGGATGCATTAGGATTGATCTTTGGAGCCCTGAATGCATGGATTTAATGTCTAGCCGGGATACATTCAGGCTCATCTATGAACGGTGTTTCCCTACGATGTTTTTGCTCTTGGATGCTTTGCTTAGTGTTGGTCCTCATCCATTAACTGTAATAGGAAAAACACACTATGAAATAAAACAATGCATCGCTTCCTTTAAGCCTCCATTGAGGTATTTAAAAGAGCTCATCGAAGGACGGCAGGTTAGTACATAAAACAAGAAGTACATAAAACGAGCAACAGAGGCTCCTTGGTTCCTACCCCTTCTGCGTTTCATTAGTGACGCAGTGATGGTTGAACGTTCCGAACATCTGAACGCCCAGGATTCCGTACAGCAGGAGGAAAAACAGCAGGAAGATGGAGACGCTCCAGATCTGTTCCCCGGATCGCCTGCAGGGGAGCAAAAGGAATAGTTTGGTTATACACGAGCGAAGCAGCCGTTAACGGAGAAGGCCACAGTGAGGAGTAACGCTCGTGCAGTGTCTTTCTACTTCAGGATGTTGGTGATGCGGGAGCGAGGGAGCTCGAAGCGGAAGTAAATCCGGAAGGCCCGGATCATAATGAGCGCTCGGGGGATCCTCAACATCCCCCAGGGAGACATCTGATCCACCAGGTCCGCTATCTCAAACACCTGACACACAGAGGAGCATTAAGAAGTTAAGAAAAGAGCTACTAGAAGCACACTGCAAAGACAATATGCTACGTACCTGCAGCACCAGGGACACCCAGATGAAAAACACCATGAATCCATCAAACATGCACCAGCGATCCTTCACATAGGAGTTGTCCCCCTGAGCACACGGAAACAGAGGCATCAACTGTTAGGGATTTAAGCCAGAAGTGCACCCCTAGTCAGGAAATTATAGTACGTGTAATAATGTTTAGTGTTAGAATTATAGTTTGTGTGTTATTAGATATTAGTTATTACATTAACATGTTAGATGAAGTGAATGCAATTTCAATCAAACACAATACGTAGTCATGTTAATCATATAAACACTCTGCACATTTACATTCTGTTACAATGTGATGTTAAAACCTGGGGACGGATGCCAATTGCCGTTCTTTATGGATTTCTTCCAATTTTATCCCCAAAGAGGGTTTTTGGGAGTTTTTTCTCCTGTCAGGTAATAAAATGAACAACTTAATGTAAGGCAGCCGACTGAGGCAAATGTCTTGAGAATTGGACCACATGAACTGTCTTAGATCTTATGATGAAGTGTGATGAACGGTGATCATTAATGATGGGTTGTTGTAATGAAGGTGTACTAGTTATAAGATGAAGACTTAGACGATGTATGCTTTGTTAAATTCACTCATTGAGGCATAAAGCCAACTGAATCTACATTGTGTGCATTGGAATGTGAGGGACAGATAGGACAGTGAGGTTTCAGGTTACAGCTGCAGCATCACACCTCGACGTGAAGGGGACAATGGAGGAGGTGACCCTTTGGAGAAGAGACCAATGACATTCAAATGCACTAAGGAAGACACACCTCAAGAGTTTTCAAAGGACCATGGCGGGGGAAAGGACTGGGAGGATCTGACCTGCAGCCGCCTTGAAAAGTCACTTTAGACTTGCTCAGAGGATTCTCTATTTCGCGAAATATTCCACTGTTCGCTTAGTATTTCACTTTGTAATTGCATTCCTTATAACGTTGTTTAGTTATTAAATACTTTTTGATTTTTGAATTTAAACGAATTGACTCATTCGTGTCCTCGTTTCCGGCCGGGACGAGAACAAAGGATTGAGGCCTCCCTCGAGAGCTTTCCGAAACCCTAACACAACACAGGAGCCAGAAATCAAGACAGGGACCGAAGCAAGAAATAATTACTGTATGCGCCGTCATTATGCGAGGTCATGGATTTGATGAGAGGTGATTCTAACACTTACCAGACGTTGTTTATGTATTTATTTGAGTTGGGACAAGGGGCACTGAGCCACAGACGGGGCAGGTGTCAATGTGAAGGGATTCAAGTAGGTGGCGTGTTAGGGGCTCTTTAATGGAAGTTCAAAATGTCACCATAAGTGATGCCGTAGAAATATCCAAAGAAAACAAAGAGACTCGGAAATGAACGTTTCCGTTTTGACAATCTGACCGTAACAAACGGCCTTCAACTGCTACAGGAAAAGACAGACGAATGATGAAGTGTGAACGAACTGAAATGTCATGGGGCAAAAAGGGGCATACTTAATTACCCCTTAATGAAAGAGAGAGAGAGAGGGCGTCTGTGAGGAGCTCTTAAGGTGTCAGCCTCCCACAGGAAGGAGGCCGGGTGCTGACGCAGGATAAGACCATGTTTGATTACACACTGACACGGACAAAAGCTTGCAATTACTTACCACGCTGTGAGGATCATTTTGTCTCTTCTTTTGTGCAGGCACAACTAACTAGAGTATAGCACCATGATAGGAGCTCAACGTTGAAGATGTATATCTAAATATCTATATAATGACACAAGATCTGTTTTTATCCGTCTGAATGAACTAAAGGGAATGTTAAGAGAAATAAGAAGACGCGATGTTCCAGTTTACTTGCACTGGTGTCCTCAGGTATCTCTCTGCTAGTTATCCTTGACTTGTCAAATCAGCTGTCCACGCGTTTTATGGGAGTAATTAGGGGCCTTCTCATCCGCCGGCTGCCCGCTCCTGGATGCTTCTAAGGAACATTACCGTCCCACCTCAGATTTCTCTTTAATCGTGCCGCTGCATCTGAAGGTTGAGCTAATTGCTTGCGGTGGGGTTGCGTTTCTAAAGTGAGGTATCAAGTGGCTTTTACCTAACGCCATTTACGTTTTGCAAAAACTTGTGAAGTAGTTTCGGTATGCGAAAACTCAACGTGCGTGCTTGTGGTCTTCCCATGAGGTTCGACTGAAGCGGCAGCGGGAAGTTACTACTTTGTTCTGGAGAGAGGCATTTTATATTATTAGGATTCGTTCATTAGGGCAGTCCATAACCTTACCATTAAGAATGAACTATTTCTTCTTTTAGATATCTGAACGACACCCAAAAACAAACTGTTGATTTGCTAAATTTCCTCCAATAGCTTGGAAGGGCTTCATATGTGACAGCGTAGCTTCCAAGTCACAATGACACTGCATTTTCCCTCTTCAGTTCAATGGAGTTCCAGTGTCCTTTGTTGACATTTTATAGCTCAATAATTCAGTTTTGTGGGATAAAAATGTCGTCAACACGCGTCCCGTAACTCCCTCTGCAGATGCAGTACCTTGATGATGCCTCTGATGTGCATCTTGGCGATCATCTCGGCGGTGTAGAGGAACATGAGCAGCGTGTCCAGCGTGAAGGTCACGTACTGCAGCGGAGGGTAATGCTCGAACGTCTTGGGGGTGTTCATACACACGGAGATGACGCTGATGATGGCGCAGGCCCGCAGCAGAGTGTGCACCCACTGCAGGAGAGGAGAAGAAAGATGTGTCAACTTGGTCAACGGCGTTTGAAAAGAATAAAAGAACAGGTGCGGGTTTGCGGCGTGCTCACTGGTTTGTTGATCCAGAAGATGTCGGCGCTGTCTGCGAGGGTCTCGTCCGGCCCAAAGTCGGTCATGGGCTGGGCCTCCACCCGTGAGCTCTGTTTCCTCTTCAGCATGCTGGGGCTCGCCGTGCTATACAGAGAGTGGATCTGACAGAGGAGGTGGGGGGGAGGGGGGTGGGGAGGTGTGGGAGGCGGGGAGACCAGGCGGTGAGCAAAGGGAAAGGAAGAGACGGCAGAAACACTCGGGCTGCATCCAAGTCGGGGCGTCAGGGCTGAACCACACAGACTTAAATGAGTATTTTTTTAGGTGTAGTTACATTAAGCAAAGAGGCACCTGGCCGCTCTCATACGGCCACATAGTGGTGCACCGTCTGCAGGGGTATTTAACAGATGTGTATCCATTGTAATCTCTGCCAGACATTTTCAACAAAATAAACGACCCTGACTTGAATCGCCGGAACAAAGTTGTGTACTTTGAAATCCAGACATGTGTTGCATTGTTGAATGGCCACCGTGACACACGACGTAGCACACATGGAACACAGGACGAGTGTATTCGCAGCTCCAGCCACTTACCGCTCGGCAAAAAGGGCTGAGCCAACGTTGTGGTTGCTGCTGTTGTTGTCGTTTTTTTACCCCGTGCTTACCATGTTTGTGTGCGTGTCTGTGTGCACGTGTGTGTGTGTGCAGAAAATGGAAAATGTGTACAGGCCGTTTCAACATAAGAACACAAGAAGAAATGACACTCTGAATGGAGACAAAGCGCACATACCAAAGGGAAAAGTAAAGCTGAAATTGCTCCAGCACTGCACATAACATGCGATCAGGCATACCCTGTAAATAACACACAACAGTTAGTCAACGTCATGGCTCATATGGTGTACAGTACACTACCCACATCTACAGTACGCTCAGAGGAGACAGGAATGCCCACCACGTCTGACATCAAGGCATTTATGCGACACACTCAGTGAGTGAGTGAGTGACTCAGGCGTTGTGGATAAAAGAGAGATGGGGGTGGAGGAGGACCGCGGGGGGTGGGGGTGGGGGGGGACTCACTGTGAGGCTCCTCATTGGTGCGTTCATCCCCAGGCCAACAGAGCGGTGGAGAAACCAACCAGAGAGACAGACTAGAGATGCAAAGGGGAAGAATGTCCTAAAGGCCTGCAGGTCCTGCGGCAGCGGTCGGTGAATGGTAGCAGTCATAAGAGCGGTAAAGAGGGGGGGGGAGAGAGCAGTGTTCACATGTGCTGCGAGGTGCAGTTCATTCGCGCCACACAATTCCCTTCATGAAGCCGCGCTCTTAGTTCTGCCCGATTTCTCAGTATCTCACAGCTGATTGGTGGACATAGAAACCTTTTGATCCAAAGAGCAGAGCTGAAAAGTAAGGCTTGTTTACAGGTCGGAAAAACGGCAAAACACCGTTATCTGACATCATTATGGTTGTTATGAATGATTCCTAGTGGAGCATTGCAGAAGGATGCATTTCCATGTTGGTGTGCGTTTCTTGTGCACAAGACAGACACATCAGCGTGTACATTTCTATATTCAATATCCATTGTGGGACTAATAAAGGAATATCTTATCTTATCTTCAATGCAATATCTAGTTGATTTTGTAGGAACAAATAGGTTTAAAAGCCCTTAAGAAAAACACTGAACTGAATTTGGTAAAATAGTATAGTTAAAGTACATAACGTCAGAACAATACAAGTCATTTGTAGATGTAAACAACGTACGTACAAGAAAGATTCAGAACAGGACGAGGCATCGCTTACACCCGGGTCTAATGTGTCACTGTCACCGGGAGCCTTGTGAACCCGAGCTCACTGAAACTCAACAGAGCGGCATTTCTTAGGATTAGTGATAGAACATGTGACTGTTTCCTTTTAGGCTCCAACCAGGAAAAGAAGCCGCTCGCATGAACCCAACGTAGTTGGAAGCAATTTAGCAGTGTAATTGCAACACTTAACATATGCAGATGGAGACGTGAAGAAGAGTGAAAACTAAATTACGGGGTCTAAGTGCTATTATGTGGGCGTATAGGTGGCAAAGTATGTAATTACTTTGCCATTTGGAGAGAGGACGTGTTCCACGCGGGCGGGATGTGATCACCGAGCAGATTAATTGTAACTGTGAGAGTATTTGCTGGAGACTCAAAGTTTCTTCCCAGAAGTTTTTACTCTTGAAGAGTTCACTCCGGCGGTCATCATGGAAGCCAAAGAAACACGGTACTTACTTTCTCTGTCTCACAAACCATACGCTTTGTTCTAACTCTAATAATGTCCAACCTTAATTTAGGATTTGATGTTTTATTCCTGAAAAATGGTTAAAATTAGTGAGTGTACCGTATTTTCCGCACTCCAAGGCGCACAAAACGACAGTGTGCCTTATAATCCGGAGCGCCTTATATATGGATCAATTGGTTAATCGGTTGATCCATACTGGTTGTACACGGCGCTCAAGGCGCTCTGCCAAACATGCCAAAGTTCGGTCTACGACGGCGAGATGCTGAGCGGCTTTGCGTGTGGAAGTCGTTGCCTCGTGCATCGCCACTGCTGCTTTTCATCGCGGACACATTTGTCCCGTATTTTCCTCCACAACTTTGTGCACCTCTCGACCGGCAAACCGGCGTTTGCGGCGATCTCCCTCCGTGAATCCAACCCGCTTCTACAACCCGCCAATGACGGCTTGTATAAGCGCTCATATTTATGCATTTATTCCGACAAAACTTCAATCTGATCCGTTCTCTCGTAAACATTCTCGTTTTAATAATGGCGGTATTGTGCACAGTCTCCACATCCCCCCCCATCCACCCGCCCCGACGTCAAACGTTTGACTGCGGTATCTCATGCGCCTTATAATCCGGTGCGCCCTATTATGAAAAATGTTCTAAAATAGGTCATTCATTGAAGGTGCGCCTTATAATCCGGTGCGCCGTATAGTGCGGAAAATGCGGTAATGTTCGGCCTTTCCCTGTCGCACAAATCACACGCTTTGTTAAAACTTTATGTTATGTGTAATGTAGAAAGTTACAGGGATTCACTGATGGAGTTAAGTGATTTATACATATGAATGAATGCAATGAGAGAAAAGAAGAGACATCTGATTGGCTACACTTAATTCCCTGTTGAAGGAAAAGAGATTTGGGAATCACTAGCGAGTCAAAAAACCTGGTGCAGTGAAGTTCGGAGAAGCAGTGAGTGAATGCAGGATTAACAGTCACAGTGTAAACGAATCATCCGTTCTCATGACAAATTTAAATCCTTTTAAATACACAATTTTTTTCACAGGTTTCCATGGATCGTGGTTATATGTGGACTCTGGTCCGGCCTCCCTGTTGACACCTGCTGCTACTATCATTATTACCATTAGTCACATTGTTATTACTGTCGTCATTACCGCATATTACGGACTTTGCTTCTTTCTTAGTCTTAGTGCTTAGTGTTGGACGGTGACATATGTTCCTGCTGTGGTCCAAATGGCCAACACCATTACATCATTGTTAGTACATTATTTTTGTACATCTTTTACATTTATTGCACTCTGTCCGTTCCCTCGAGAAGGGGTCTCTCCTCTGTTCTCCTTAAGGTTCCCTCCTTTTTTCTCCCTTTTGAAAGCTTTTTTCTGTTCTGATGTGAACGTTACGGTACAGAAGATGTCGCTGTGTACAGATTGTAAAACCCTGGGACGTCACACCAAAACAGCTGAAACACACCACAATGCCCCATGGAGCCGAGGGGAGTCTGTGACGGAGGGCTCCACCTGTACTTATAGAACCAGTCTCGCAATACCAACTCCTGAGCTTCAAACTATGGTGCTCTATTTATCCCACTTTGTATCAATGCAGTCATGTTACACTGACAGTGTCTTTTCAAAATAAAACGGAACATTGCCGAATTAGGTGATAATCCTCTGGGAAATTGGTACCATGACACTTTCACATTATTTCACCCGTTTCAGAATATGCAAAACAGCAGCTTCAGCAGTATGCAAGTATGTATTGATACAGAGGTATTTAGGCCACTAATAACAAACAAAGCCACCAAATCGCTCCCCATGATTGACACCTTCTTTTGGCATACTGTTACATCAGCGTCGTCTGCAGGTTCAAATGTTTGCAGCATATAAATGAGTAGACTGGTGTACGCGCACCGTCAGCTCAATGCATGAAGGTTTTCACATCAATCCAGCTGATGTTCATAAAAGCTACACCTGGAGCATTTCATACACCCACCCAATGGCTGACCCCAACACGGCCCCTCAGCCTCCACTGGGCCAATGTGGGATCCTTAAAAGCCCTTAATGGTCCTGGTCAGCACGTGACCAGCCGTCCTGTAAAATGGCGTCACGCAGCTGGGTGTCAATCAACAGATGCACATCCGTCTCCGTGGACGTGTTCCTCGGAGGCAAGGTTACCATGGAAACGGATACGAGCTAAGCTGCTACGTGTGGCAAGAAAAAACAAGCTAGCCCCCGTGCGTGCGCACGTCGTGTGGGCACGCGCGGGTCCTAACGAAGTTAACATCGACAGGTGACAACGTGCGCGTCTTATAGCGCCGCAAATGAGCGACGAAATGACAGCAGGGCCTCCCCCGGAGGGGGAGAGCGTCCCCACTTCCTGGAGAAGCGACAAGCTAGCGCGCGGCAGCACGTCGGTAGCATCCCGAGAGCAACGGCGGCTGGATGTCCGGTCACATCCAACACACGGCTCAGAGAAAAACACACACTTACGAGAGGAGGGTGTCCGTTATCCGCCGTGGCCCGTCCGGTCCATGACATCGGCTGTTTTCCGGGGTGCGTTTGGACCCTGTGTGTGTACGTGTGTGTGTGTGTATGTGTGTGTGTGTGTGTGTGGGGGGGAGATTGCGGGAGCGCGCGCAGGTTTTCAATCACATCGACTAGCAGCAGCGCGTGCAGCGGGCGCGCGCCGCCGTCTCCATGGTAGCGTCAGGTCTCTGAAATGATTTGCATCAAAACAGCCTCCCAAATACTTTGGCCTATATTGTTTTATTACTGTGATTTCATATATTGTGGCAAGTTGACACCTCCGTCATCACAAAAACAGTATGTGACAAATGAATTATTGATCTCTAATCTAATCGCATAATGCTGCCATATCACGAATCACCCTGAAATAAAACAATGTTCTTCTTAAATGTGTGTATATATATTTATTTATATATATATATATATATATATATTTGTATATATATATATATATATATATATATATATATATATATATATATATATATATATATATATATATATATATATATATATATATAACAAACTTGTTATCAAAAATGACAAAAAATATATATATATATATATATATTTTTGTCATTTTTGATAACAAGTTTGTCTGTACTGTATTTCTTACTGTGTTGATTATTCCAGACAGGGAGAGGAGTCCCTTCCTGCCAGGTAAAGCGAAGCTCGAACTCTTCAATGCATCCATCCATCGTCATACTCTTCAATGCAAGCCCTCATAAATCATTGACCTAAGTACAGCGGTGTCAGGTCAACTCAACGTTCAAATCCTGTGGTATGAAAGGTGAGGAAACTTGTTTCTGGACTTTTCTGCTTGCTTTGCTCTGCACTTGTATTGCACAGTTTGAATGCTGAGAACAGAACGTGCACACCGTTGCCTGCAGGAAGCAATATAATAAAGGCAGAGTTTGTTTAAATAAAATCAGTGAGATAACATGTTGTTTGTACCAGGCATGACAATGTGTGGCTGCCATTGTTTTTTACATTGTGAGTATGTTTAACTCATCAAATGTGGACGCGGAGACACTTTATGTAGCAACAACTACCACTCAAGTGTTTTTTGAAGACTTGGTTAACTCGTCTGTCTCGATAGTGTCATGACTTGTCATTTAATACATTTATTTTGCCTATAAATTAGCAATGCACCGTAGGGTTACAATTGTCCCGATGATTACGATTACAAAGTCATAAACACAGACTTGGAAAAATTGCGCCTAAATTCTGGAAGTTACCTTCCATTTCTAATTGTATGGCGGAGCTTAACAAATATACATTTTGGCATTTAACACTGGTAAAGGGACACCCTGACAGATTGGAATAAAACGTATGCCATATTGTTTTTTCAGTATCGCTTGCGGGCAACTTTACTCTTCATGAAAAGCCCAGGTGTTGCTAAAAAGAATATTTTCCACCCGAATGTCCCAGGCGGTGGGGATAAATGTGCGTGACGGTGATCCGGCCTGCACAGCGCGGTGAACCTGCAGCCGCTTAATGGGATTCAGTCACCATTACGTCCATCATCCACACCTGTGCTTTTTCATACTGTCACATGTTGAAATGCCTTCATAGGAACGGCCTTTTAAATCACAAGGAAAAATGCAGGCGAAATTGCAGTACTAAAGAGATTTTACTCTGGAAAAAGAAGGAGGGGCAAAAAAATACAAAAAAATCTGTCTGCTTCTAATTACATCTGAAACTGGTGACTTAACTTTTTCTATTTTTTGCAGTTTCCCCTGCTCCTGCCGGCGCCTGTGTCTGCGAGTCAAGACTAATCAAAGGCACTTGTATGGAGAGAACTGTTGGCCTCTGAAGGGATCGAGCCAGTTCAGGGCCAGCCTGCTGCTCTTTCTCTCCCTCTCTTTCCACACTCTCACTCTCTTTCCTGTCCTGTCCGGTTAAGGCGAGAAAGATTGGGGAAAAATTCCTTCGAGCTACTTTGCTTCAGGTTTCTCTGGGATTTAAACATGCACAGTGGGGTTTCGCTGCAGTCCATGTCGGTGCCGTTGTTTCTGATTCTGCTGTCTGCTGTGGAGGACACTTTGTCACAATCGGTGAGGTGAGTTTCCACACAGCTTTGTTGTTTTGGGTTTTTTTCCTGATTATTCATGGGTAGTTTAGAGAGCAAGAAGGAAGAGGGAGGTGCAAAGCTGACAAAGACAACATTTGGAGAGTGCAATGGGGGGAAGTTTAGTAGTGTCTTCACATGCACTTCTTAATGCGGTTTTACTTCAAAAAACATCATACATGTTAACACACAGGCGAAAACCAACCTGCAGTTCAACCATAACGTATCATGCTTTTGAGGGGCCTTTTGATAAAGTCACTAGCCGTCACAGATTTTATGAAAAATATTTAATTGTAATCAGGTGTGAAAAATTACATGAAGCTGATAACTGGACTAAAATGTGAAAAAAAGAACCGTGTCCGTTTACCGTCTTTGTCATCAGATCTGTAAAAGTTTCCATATGATTCAAATTAAAGTCGAATGCGGTGGGGGTGTTCCCCAAGCAGGTGCACCTTGCAATATCTAAACATTCCCTACCTGAAAGTGGGAAAAAATGAAAGTTACCACATTTATGCAACGCTTAATCCGATTGACATCCAAAACATCCACAGTATCCTAGCGAGGTGGATTAAGGCTGGAGGGCTCCACCTGTGCTTTCAGCACGTAACCAGGGTTACGATGCTGACACATTCGTAGCCTAAATGGGTCAAATACAGCAGCTAAACCTCTGTTCTTACAGGAGGAGCATTGCAGAATTAGGGGAAAATCCTTTGTGAAATTGGCACTGTGGCACTGTTATACTACATTTAGTGATTAGAACCATTTCAAAATATGAAGCATAGCAGCTTTGAGAGGATGATTACTTTTTCATACACAGGAAGTTGGGTTGAGAAGGTTGAGTTACTTGACACCAACTACTCGCTTTATGTCAAGGTAAGGTTTAGTTTCTCAATGGACATGGACAGCCGCCTCATGAATGAAAGTTTTGTGTTTGTTTAAAACATGCACCCCACTTTTCCCCTCGGCCCGATTTTGAATATCCCACTTTATACTTGGTTATTTGCACTTAGAACGACCAAAGGGACTTACGCGCCATTACAAAAAAGCTGAAAACCAATTAAAAAAATAGGTCTATAAGTTCAACTGTTTATATATTTTTTGTTCATCTTCTTGACTTCACTGGAAAAAAGGCTCATTAAATGTCTTTAAAAGTTAAACAAGAACTGGATAGGAGAGAGCATAGGAGGAGCAGATTTGAACAGTCCGGATTGTGTGCCTGTTTCTTGAGTACTTAATTTATAGGCTTTCAAAAGTACTATTACTATAAAAGTAGCAATTGCACGAATTTCTTCAATTTGCAGTTGGGCCATCGGCCCGTCCAGATCCAGCCACGTGTGAATAGTTTGCTTTAGTTTCCTGCAATGTTTTCTGGTTTTGTTTATTTAAGGAATGCTGCTTCCTCGCCATGCAGACATTCCCCCTCATGCAGTCGTAGAACCGGCATGTATTATTGCCTTTTTTCAATAACTATTTTATAGAATCACTTTTAGAAACCATTTCTGAACATAATTGTTGAGGCAACATCGCTACACCTTTTTGGTCCTTGGCAACTGCTTACCAGGGGAGAACCTAAACTCTAAGAGAGTGTGGGGGGTGTCGTAGATGAGTGAAGGCTTTGGGACCCAATGTGGGCGACTGACAGGCTCTCATCATGCCCCTACATATCCTCGCCATCTGTAAGAAGTATCTGGAGACCAGATGGTGGTCTAGGAGGGTCTGCCGGGTAGGGAAGAAAAGGGTTGTCTTTAAGACCAGGTTGTTGGTGCTTTTCTCCGGTGGCAATTTCAATTTGCCAATTGGTTTGAAGTAAGTGACGGAACTTGGAGCCTGCAGGTGGTCAAGCCCCAAAAGGCCCCCAATGGGTGAAGCCTGTGTGAAAGGGAAGTTTTATAAAATCCCCTTGACAGCTGGAACACACACATTCTTTATTTAATTTCAGTGGGAGTGTCAGGAACACTTGATCTGCTTGAAGTATGTCCAATATTCCCAAACGGGACAGTTTTGGCAGGGCAAGATTAGAAAAAGAATGTCAGACAGCATCCAAATGAAACAAATCTCACACGGAGATGCTGTGCAGGAGAAGTGAAGCATATGCACCAGTGGCTGGAAATGATGAATGGTGGAGCTGTTTTGGTCTCATTCGATTTTGGGGATTTATCAGCTTAAAGAAATACAACACACACAAATTGACCATTTTGTATGTATATATTTTACTGACTGTGTGTTGCAATCTTGAGGAAAACTCGGTTTGTTCCCTCATATCTCTCAAAGCTTTTGCATTCGTTCAAAAGAAAGTGACGTTGTTTGGGTGGTAGGGGTCGTCCGTGGGTCAATCAAACACATGACTTTCACCCGGGATGAAGCTGTTCGTGTCCTGTGTGAAACCAAAAGGAAAAGTTGAGTCTTATGTAACAGTTTTAATGGTAGTTTTTTCAAGAATAACTATACTTTGCACCTAATACCCCCCCTGAAATTTTAGGCAAACCCAAAAGTTCCCCTTCTAGTCTCAGGCCCAAACCAAAGTCCCTCCCTTAGGCCTTACTCTGAAAACTGCAAGAGGTCAAAACTATATAAATACAAATGTGTGGCAACATGTCAAGTAGCTTTCATGGCACCCAAACATATATACAACAAAATAAATTCTACTGGCTTATTTCAACATCTTTCAGGCATTTGCGTACAAGACGACTGTGGGTGACTGGGCAGCCCGGTCGTCTTCCAATCAGAGGGTTGTCGGTTCCATCCCAGGCCTGGCTGACCTGCATGCCCATGTGTCCTTGGGCAAGACACTTAACCCAACATTGGTCCTGTAGCTGCAACGACAGTGTGTGGATGTTAGTGACTGATGGGCAGGTGGCGCTGTGTGTGGTAGACCTTGTTATCAGTGTGTGAATGGGTGAGAATGATGTCATGTAGTAGAAAATCACTATACAGTCTTTTTACGGGAGGCGATTGTTGAATTATTTGAACAGCTTCGATAACAGAATGCGAAGTTAAAAGTATAATATACAAGCTGTCAAGTGTTTGAGCATTCTCTTACAGCCATTTATGAACACTTTCTGTAGGTCCACACTTCTTTGCCTTAGAGAATTACCCATAATTCATAGCAATTTAATGTTAACATGGTTAGACCCTGTTAAACATTAAATTGCTATGTTAAACACAAAAATCACAGGAATGCAAGCAGAGACTACACAGCTGGTTTATTCATCAACCATTTCTTTTCATTGTGGCATTGAAGCCATTCTGACAAAAACAAGTAAATAAATGACTTGACAATTTGCTTTCATCTCAAGAAGCAAAAGCCTGGAAAAGTGTAGAAAGAATAAAAGAAATACCGGCGATTGCAAATAACATGAGGTTGTCATGGTAACGTTTTATGTCAGGGGAAACTGCACTCCAATTTGTATTCACGCCACATAAAGCCCCTACATGCCTTTCCAGCACTGATTTTATTTTTTAAATCCACAAAGAAGTGAAAATAAAAGAAAACCGCCTGTTTATGGGTCTTTCACACGCTGACCCAACACACCAGCCATTAGCTTGAGTACAAGATTATTCAATAATAAATAGGAGAAAGGTCAATGTGTTTATTCACTGGTGGTTGGTTACTTTACCCACAAACATCATGACCAGACCCTTTGGGAATGTTTAAAGGTAACCACGTCTTGCTCAGAACGCACACAGATGGCATCACACTTGACACCTTGACCGCCTCAGTTTTCAAAGCCGAATAACAACTGACCTCCCCTCCTTTCCCCCAGCCAGGTGGGCGGTGTGTGCAGGCTGTCCGCTGAGTCCTCTCTGCGCCGCTGCCGCACGCCCGATGGCAAGATTTGCAGCGGGAAGGGCAAGTGTGATTGCGGCATCTGCACCTGCCTGGCCACAGCGCCGGGGAAGTTCTACGGGCCGCGCTGCGAGTGCCACGACTGGGTCTGCGCCACGTTCAAAGAGAAAACGTGCAACGGTGGGTAAAGTGATGCATGGACACCAGACACAGCATGCTGATTAAAAGGACTAAAAGACGCTTTTACTGCAATTTGTACTGTGTAATACAAGTTTTGCATTCCATGCTTGCACGCTGCATAGTGGGGAGGAGCGTGCGTGCGCATGGCTCCACATGCTTTCGTACTTAGATGCGGTTGTTAGAGGAGGGTCAGTAATGGATGCAGCAGAGCTCGGCACAGTTCCAATTTGGCCTCTAAACCTCGCCGGTCCGCGTCTGTGAGAACGCCGTTTTGAACAGTTGAAAGAAGTTCTCTTCCTTGAGGCGTATGAATACAGAGGCAAGCTTTAAAAAAAGAGTACCCTCTCTCCACCTATCGATTAATCCAATTCAGAAATAGAACCAGAAATACTAAATTGGTCCCATGGGCTAAATTTGGTGACAGATCAGGACAACAAGTCAAGATGAGGATGGTTTTTCATTTGAATTTAGTTATAATAGCAGTTGTTTTCAAACAATGTGAGATCTGCTCATAGTAAATTACCGTCACCACAGAATGAAAGCACATTGTGTTCCTCCGGGTTTGTTCGGCCTTTCCTTTTTTGTTGGTTTTCCATTGGTGCAGACAACAAACATCCAAGTCAAGTGAACTGGGAGCGTGAACACGGATGCTCAAAAGTGAGATGTCCGCGTTCTGGTTTAAATAGAATGAATGACTTTCCTCATCAACAATAGAGAGTATTATGTTCCTGTTGTGTATACATCACGTTCTTTACTACACAAAAACATACACACATACTCTTCCTTTTGTGTCTTCATTTTTGTTCCATTGTGTGAGCATAATTGGCACATATTGGCAGAATAGACATGCCTCTACTATTTCCCTACATACGTAGCATGTATTGTTCCAAGATAAGGCTGACAATACGTCCATTCCATAACAACGTAATGTTATGGGCCCAAAGAAAAGATTGCAGCGGATTTCCTCGCATACACACAAAGTAGTGCCGCTGTCGCCGACACGTTTTCTCCTTCGACTGATCCACATTGTAGAAGAACAACAGGACGATGACCTCGACTTGACATCTGCTGTCCAAATGTGCAAGAAAGTTGTTCGTGACTGTGTTTCAATCTTCCTTTTCTGTGTCCTCGCACTGTTTGGAATTAAGTTCTGTACTAGAGAACTTAAATCTTTGGTTATTTTCATAGTTTTTTGTAGGAAACCCCCTTTTTTAAAAGACGAGGGACAACGTGGCAACGTTTCCGTTCTCTCTTTCTCAGCCCTCCCTCTTTTATTGGCCACGTAAAATCTCCCCCTCTCCCCCTCTCTCCCTCTCTCTGTTTGTGTGGTTTCCTCTGGTGCGTGTGTGTTCAGACAAGCTGTGCTCGTGGTCTTTTCTCATAGTCAGAGACGCCGCGGGTGGCCCAACCCGTTGTCCCAACGACAAAACACTGTATGATCAACTTGGTAATTGCTGTTGCAATATTGACTAGCATTGGACGAGTTTATTGAGACAGATGGAATCAACGATGGGCTCTCCACAAACAATGCTGTTGTTTTTGGAACACCGTTGAACCTGGATGTTTCTGAACCAAAAATGAATCTTGTGAATATTTTCTGTTTTAGTCTTTAGTCTGAAACACTCAATCCAACCTGGTTAACGCAGTGAAACCATTTGGTAGGTTTAAGAAACATGTAATAACAGCACAACGAACGTATGAACCATAATTATAATGTGAGTAACAAATCGCCCTGGTGGAGTGTTTTATGTAATGTTGACATATGCAGTACGTATTCACGGCTATGCAATACACTAAAGGTCACTGTAGCAGTGCAATCCAGCTGACTTTACCGTAAAGGGCCATCTCACTGGGGCAGATAAAGTAGGCGACATGGGAGCAAAAATCCTCTTCCCCCCCCCACGAATTCTTGTTTTAAGCATTTTCTCTCTTAGAAAATTCTGGCTTTTCAAAGCATGTGTCTTCTCCTGGTTCAACTCTCCGGCTGAACCCCGGGGGGTTTAATGTCAGCGGTGCTTAAGAAGTGAACTTGTCCAAATCAAACTCTTCCAGGTGTACTTTCCATCAGCAGTACATTATCTTTAGTTGTTGCTTGCAATATGCAGACATTGCAGACAGGTGAGAGAAACTAATCAGAATGGTTCAATACTCATCACTGTTGATTTTTGATAAAGAGATATTGGAAAAAGACCATTACAGCCTCATAAATTCTTCATATGTGGATTATTTTATTTTTTACACATACTGTGATGCTCTTTCACTTGAATATTGTGAGCTTTGCTGTGCAGTGTGGTGAGTCACCTAATGATTCCAGCGTGGGCTGCGAGGAGAAACAAACCACTCAAGTCTGTCCTAGTCCATCTAGTGGAAGGCCATTTTGCATTAGGGACTCATTTCAACTTCCAAAGACTTGTGGCTGTAGGAACAAGTGGTTCTCCATTGCTGCTAACAAACCTGTGAAGATTCAAAGACAAAAGTTGCTTTCGTCTTTCAAAGGTGTGATGAAGTCACCAAAGTTGACTGTAAAAAAACAAACACAAAGAAAACAGACGTGCTTGCTGCGAGGACGGCGCTCACAGTTGTTACCCAGCCTGATCTCCAAAACCTGTTCGTAAAAATGTATACGACAATCTTGAACATACAAATTCGTAGTGATACATACGAAATAAATACGGACTGCAACTGATGACGTCACCCTATTCAAAGTGAACGGGGACCTGCGCCCCGTAAACACACTTTGTGAAGTCTAACCATGTAAAATAAACGTGTTATGATTGCATTTTTAACGAGAAATCAATGTTAACTTGTAAGAATAGAATACTGACCCTAACCCCCTCAAAAAATCCAACATGGCGGAGAGACGTTCACTCAAGAATCCGACATGGTCCGCCATGTTGTTCACTCAAGGGGCGTGGTTAACCACCGCCAGTTCCTATGCATTGTTACCAATTTGTATGTTCAAGATTTTCGTACATTTTTACAAACAGGTTTTGGAGATCACGTTGCATTACCTGCAACAGGTGTCCCCAACATCTTTTCCCAGTGGACGCAGGGTGTGTGTGTGTGTGTGTGTGGGGTGAAGGGGAGGGGGGGCGGGGTCATTTGAAGAGGCAATATGTAATGTAAATTGTTGTTTAGAATGGAAAGCACGGTGAAATCTCAGATTAGTCCCTAGATGCCTCAAACAGAAGTGATAGAAGTTCTCTCTGCTCTCAGGGAGGGAATTATATTTTCTTAGATTGATGGAATATTATATTCCACATAACCATTCCCTTGTTTATGTCCCTCTCCATATTACACACGGTTTTAATGAAATGAGATTCTAAAATGAGCCTTCTGAGTGACTCACCATGCCCCCCCCCACCCCTCATTTTCCTTCCCCTCGTCAGCAGTTAATCATGGCAACGCCACATCACCTATTACCGCCACCGACGCTGCAGCACAGATGCTTTGTCTCGCTGCCGGACCCCCACAGGACGTATCTGGTCTCAGTGGTCGAGGGCCCTGATTGGCTGGTAGCGCGTGTCCGTCGGCGGTGTGTGGGAGGGACCCTGACGGGTCCCAGCCACGGAGGATTATTGCTCAGGAAGGACCTGGACGGATAAAATGTCCACAGGCAGACTCCTTCCCACGCACACAAACCTTCACCTGGGGGACAAAGGGGTGTCAGAGTGATCGTCATGGCCAGATTAATCGGGGCCAGTGGGTGGAAGTGATGTTCTATAATATTCTGCGGAGATACTTGAATCTAATGTGTGGCAGGTCACATCTGCAAAACTAAATAAGTAAGTGCAAAAAAATCATCGGCAACATCCAATGAGAATATCTCCAATTGATTCAGGATCATTCCATTCAAATGTGGCAATAAATAAATAATAGAGTGAAATAAAATTAGTGAAAGTGTAAATCTTGTACGACCACAGGTCATATTTCACGCAGCATTAAAAACACATTCACCAAACCTGTTGACTTGAAGATGAGGGAACACTGACTTAAACGAGGCATTTCTGAGGGGAAAAAATAAAGCATTTCTTTTAGAGTACATTTCCACCTTCCTACTTGCAGTCAGAGCCTGTGTTGGGAGCCCGGGGTCAGTCCCAGCTCGCACTGGGCGAGAGACGGGGAACACACTGGTCACCAGTCAGTCACGGAGCGACAGATAAATCATTCACTCACCCAATGATTCCTATCTTGAAATATCATGGAATCTAAACTTTTAAAACAACCTGTAGAGCTTATTTTTCACATTGACAACATGATATTGCCTCCGAGGTGCATCTCTCTCTTTCCATATTCCTCTTTCGCCTTGAACCTGTTTCTAAGTGTCCCCTGAGACGCATCGATGATTACGGGAGACGGGGGGACTCGCCAGTTGCTAATGACTGATGGATGGCCCTCGAAAAAAGGAAGTGATGTTTACAGCATGAACGGGTTGGGAGAATGATTGATTGAGACATACGAGGGCCGTGCTAAAAGCACTGGGAGCCGCCTTTGTAATAACAAATCAACACCACATGATTTCCAGTTCTTGTTTTTAATGTTGTTCACCACGGACATCAGAATGAGGAAAAGCAGATCCTGTGAACACTGGACAATAAATCGCTGAGTGGTTAAAGGGGAAGCTCGGATAGTTTGTAACAACGAGGGAGGAATCACCTGCAACATGCATGTTTGTGCATCTCAAGAGAAATATTTCCTTTTCCATCCATTAAAACAAGTCAAAGGAGCAAAGTCCGGCATGCTGGCAGAGCGACCCCCCCCCTTTTCAAACTAACAGGCGTCCTGCTTCGTGGAGCTCGTTGGTGAGCGGCGTGCTTCACGGCGTGGACGAACAGCACGGTGTGTGTTGTGCTTTCCCTTTGCAGACCGCGGCTACTGCGACTGTGGGACCTGCGAGTGTGACGAAGGCTGGTTCGGAGAGGCCTGCCAGTTCCAGGAGGAGTGTGAACTATCCGGCAAGAAGAGCAAAGAGCTGTGCAGGAACCCACAGGGGGTGGTGTGCTCCAACAGAGGTGCCGCGACCACAACGCACACACAAACAAACGCGCACAGACACACCGCACTCCAGCGAGAAAAGGGCACTTGAGTGTTAGCTCAAATCGGCCTCACAACTCATTCAATTCAATGAGAAACTGTGTCCAAACTTTTGACTGGTACTGTAATTTCTAATTAAAAAGTCCCAAACTCTGGATTTGTCTGCAATGGTTTTACATCATTTCTTTTTTGGCCAAGTCTAGAGAGTTAATCGTTTGATTTTGTCCTTGATAATAGCTCATTTCTGACCAAATACTCCTACAAATAGGAACAACAAAATAGAGAACCACAATTTATATTGCACACGAATTCTGTCAAAAGCGACACTTGTTACCTCTTTGCTCTTTGACATATACAGCACAACAATCTCTTCACCAGGGTGCACTGACACGTTCGTGCATTGGAAAGCGCAAAATTGGCATTTGAAAAAAAAGCACACAAACACAGTTGTTCCGCCTGCAGACACCAGTGTAGATCCGTACAGACACACATCTGCAAACCACCTGGGCTCTTTGAGTGCACTGCACGTACACAACCAACCACACACTGCAAACGCACGTACACGCACCTGCAAACTCTTGACCTGTTACCGACACGTGGGCTTTTATCTGCGTCTGGTATCTTCTAACAGGCACCTGCCACTGTGGCAGCTGCATGTGTGACAATAAGGACAGCGGGGGCCTGGTGACGGGACACTTCTGTGAGTGTGACGACAGCGAGTGTCTGGACGAGGAGAACGGGGAGGTGTGCGGAGGTAAGGCCCACATCGATCACCCCCCTTACCCCGCCTCCATTGCACCTTAGTGCAGCGTGTGGTCATTCGCTCTGTTTGATTGAGGAGAATACATTAACCCCATGTGTCTGTGAAGTTTCATTCGAAGTCGGCACCATTGCGTCCTCCATGTTCCCCACAGGTTGTTTCCGGTGTCTAATAAATACAAATACATAAATACAAAACACTAAAAAGTGTTAATTTAAAGGGACAAAAAGGAGCTAATGGAGAAATCTGAATCTATAACACAGAGGTGGACTCATCCGTCGTCGCATGTGCATTCTGATCTGCTTCCAGGCCACGGCCAGTGTTACTGTGGAAACTGTTACTGCGCCGCTGGTTGGCATGGAGACAAGTGTGAATTCCAGTGTGACATCAGCCCGTGGGAAAGCAAGCGGAAATGCACATCTCCAGATGGCAAAATCTGCAGCAACAGAGGTCTGTTTCTCCAGGGGAAAATCATTTCATGATTTTTACTTTTATTATTCTAGAATTTAACTATTTTGAAGATATTTTGTTCTATTTGACAAGCTGATGATTATCACAAAGGAATAATATAATAAGAATGTAAGGGGACATTTGTTAATCATTTCTCAATTTCTAAACCCATTACAATCCGCTTCATAAGAGTGACAATTGATTGTGTAGTCAGGAAACAGGAAACAAACATTGTAGATGTGATCAGGCTCATTTCCTGTCTGTTATCTAGTGCAATAAAGACAACTAAAAGCCACCTTCTCTATTCAGAATAGCACCCAATGCACCATACACATGTGTACTGTTCAACTATACTTAAAATAACAATAAAGAATTGCAGAATAAATGTCTATACCGCCATTTCCATATATAGTCATTGCACGCTGTAATATATCACTGAATAGTGTCTGAAATACACATATTATTTGTTTTATAATATGAAAATACTAAATCATCTGACATACTGTTAAAACGTACTGGTCGTGTGCTACAGTCCTCTGTCTTTTCTGTTTTGCTTGTTTTTCTTTGGTCGCACTGGCATTTCGTTGTGCATCCCTGTGTTGCATAATAAGCATAAATGATTCGTGACTTCTTTTGAACACAAGCACTAACCCTGAAGTAGTGACACACTGGGGAAGGAATGAATGGAATTAAAACCCAACATAGATTTAAACATATCTTTGATCCGTCACAGTTTCGGGCATGTATGACGGGAGAACCCCAGTGCAGCTCGTCTTCTGCAGATGAAAAAGGGAAAACAGCTTCGCTAAACCCTCAAGTGATCCTGCGGGGTTTCAGTCAAGCGCTCCACAATGAATTGCAATGGACCGGCTGAACAAATGGTAGACTGCGCGCACACAGATCCATAATTTATGCTTAAGTGCACCAGCAACACAGCATGAACAACCATCAACTGTGTTCGTGGTGTAGAAGCCCGTTGTGGAGCTTTATAGGAGGAAAAAGGGCAGTCCGAGGCCAGACGATCCAAACAGTCACTGGAGAAAAGAACAAAAGGCAATATGACCGCAATTAAAATGAATCAATCTCAGTCCAAATCAACCTAGACACACATTTTTAGCTTGCTCTATTAGCTGAAGAGCGTTACGCAATTAATCCAAAGTACTGTTTACCGTCAATTTATTTATTGATTCTTTTAAAATAATGTATTCACGTTTTATTTATCTTTATAATCTGCAAAAGCGAAACTATGTCAATTAAAGTAAACAAACATGTTTAGAAAATCACAATGAAAAGTAAATCTCCCATTTCGTGAGAATGAAAACACCGGTTCAGGAGATACTGGTTAAAAAAACCAAGCAAGGCTCTTCGTAAAACAATAGAATAAAATGCTTGGGAAAGATATCTTTATCTCTCCTCCTTGAGGCAAAATATAACAGGTTGATAGTTTGATTTCATGGTAATATATGTGGAAATGCAACGCGCCTGTGTAGCACACCTAACCGACATGCACTGCCAACAAATGTTTAAAGCAAAGTGTGGCATTTGCTCAGAATATAAAAATCCTGTATTTACTCGTTTTTACCGTTCGAGTGCAACACAATTCTCGGAAGTCAGACAATTTGGTGCTGATTATAATGGGAACCATTCTAAATCCTCTATATATGGCACGTCAGAATTAATCCTCCTTTTAATGCACTGTGAAGATAATTCTCAGTGATTGTGGCAGATGGATCAAGCAACATGATTAAACAAGAGGGTTGATTTGATTTCATCACCCTGCGTAGTAAATGTGACGAGTTTTTGTGTGAGGGTTTGAAATGTCTCCTGCTTCACTTACGCTGCGAAATGAATGAGTGAATGATTTGGCTGACGGGCAACAGACAGACTCGGTTTCATTCCTCACAACCCACCTTCACCCACCCTCAGCAGTGGAGCTAATAATACACCAACCGTGCAGTCACTTAATGCATGTGTATGTGAATTCTTGATCACAACAATTTGACTAGGAGACAATATGTTTGCACTAGGCACACAGAAATGGTTGTTTGTTGAAAGGGGAGGTTGCTGTTTAGCTGAAAGAAAAAGGATCTAAGTCAGAAATTGCATCTTGTGATTGCATCTATTGATTTTATAGAGCATTTCTCCCCTCCGAATAACACAGGTGCCGCGATCCTCTTCCTGTGAAGCCCGACTACCACAGTTGTGGCAGACATAAAGTGCATGGCTCTATAAATCCAGAGCTCCGGGGTTGTGAGAGTGGTGTGCGAGGGCCGCACCAGGGCCAAGGGCAAAGACACGCGCCACCCACAGCACGCAGGCTCGCCAGCTGGCCGGGCTCCACACGGGGCTCCCCTCTGTCAGCGCTGATAAGAGAAGATGGGATTTCCACTGGCTGCTGCTCGGACTAGTGCCCTGGCTAAGATGTAAAAACAAATAGAAAAGAGACAGGCGGACAGATACGGCGATAAAGGATGAAAAAGTGAGGCAGACTTTGGCTGCGGCCTAAAGCAGAAAAATAAATCCTTCCATCCCGGCTATGAGCTGTATTTAGCATTGGTTTGTCTCCACTGCAGATCGTTGCTTTGTTTGGACTGTAGAGGTATACACATGTACTGTATATTAGGGAAACAATGCATTGTGAATTAATATGTGCACAATGTGCGGTTTGGTTTGCTGCGTGTGTGTCAGGGACCTGTGTGTGTGGAGAGTGTAACTGTCATGATGTCGATCCCTCCGGCGACTGGGGAGATATCCACGGGGACACCTGCGAGTGCGATGAGAGGAACTGCCATGCGACCTACGACCGCTACTCTGATGACTTCTGCTCAGGTGAGCAAACCTGTTTACATTTAATGCCTCTTAAAAGTGAGAAGATCAATAGCAGCTGGTTAACTTTGCTTGAATAAAAACTGAAAGTGGGGGGAAGCAGCTAGCCAGCAACCATCCATCCACCGTCAAACCGCTTATCCTGCACACAGGGTGATGTGTGTAGTGGGGGGGGGGGGGTCTGGAGTCTGTCCCAGCCAACTTCGGGTGAGAAGCTAACCAATATAAATAAATATAATATGTTTTATATCGGGTTGAATATGGCCAGTAACGTCATAGCAACGGCTACAAAAATAATCATCGTCATCATAGGCACACACTGTAACCTTTGGACAGAGCCAGGCGAGCCGTTTCCTGATCTGCATCAAAAGTAAAAGTAAACATGAATTTTATCCAAAATTGCACAACAGAATTGTAATTGGGGGATTTCCTGCGGCGGCTCGTGGCTCATGGTGTTAACAGTGCAAACAGCACTACAAAGGGAGCTAACCGTGTTTACCTGAAGGTCGGGAAGACGCTGTCAGCTGTAACCACTAGTGCAGCATGGCAGCCATTAGCTATTCACTGGGACACACAGACTGGGCTCACATGTGCTCACGGTCACACAGGGTAAGTAAATAAAGCGTGGAGAAGCTTGTATAACCACACACAGGGAGTTCATTATCATTACTGAACTAGCTATTTACATCTCAAATCATTGTCACAACGTATTCTACTTCTATGACTGCTGACGCTCAATCTTCCGATGTCCTGCCCCTTGTTTAATTCGCCATCACCATTTCCCCCCCTTCTAACACACTAGCTCCTTTGTCCCCTATCAAATTCTCCCTGACCGATATGTCCACTCCAGTCAATGCTCTTTTTTCCACTACAGTACACTTTATTCTACCTCTTCTCCTTGACAGGTCATGGCCAGTGTAATTGCGGCAGGTGTGACTGCAAGGAAGGATGGTCTGGGAAGAAGTGTGAGCATCCTCTCTCCTGCTCGCAGCCTGCGGAGAGCAGTCTGAAGAAGTGTCGCGGAACGTCCAATTTGCCCTGCTTCGGACGAGGTACCTGGTCTTCCCCTCCCGCTCCTGTTGCCATGGTTACTGCAGCGTGCTTGCACTCTATCTGTCGTCCCCTCTTGGTTTGGAACAGGCTGTTTCCAGTGTGTCACAGTCTGTCAAACCCTCCTTTGGAGGCAATAGTGGGCCCAGTAATCAATACCAATGGACCCCTTAAGCAAAATTAAAAGCAGTGGTGCACACAATATTATACATTATTCCTGCTTGTATGTCAGTGCCGTATATATTCATATAGGTGCACAGTTTTGTCTGGAACAGCTCTTTGGATAGAACGAACAGTGGGTCGATGTGTCTCTACTTATAACACCGCACCCCATGCTTCATTAGTGGCCCGTCTGGAGAGTGGAAGCCTGTTTTCTTACAGCCTCCGGAGGCCAATCCTAATACTGATATCAGTCTCATGTACTCATCAAAGGCATCACTGGTAAAACCTGCACCATAAAAAAAAGATGGTTAAATGACTGGCATCCATGGCTGCCAAACAAAAAACATACATTTAATGTAAAATAACCTTTTTCAAATAAAGTACGAAAAACATAATTTTAAGGAATTTTTCATTTGCGGTTTTGCAGGGAAACACTTCCAAGAAAAAAGATTCTGGATTTCTTAGCCATGCAACCCTTGAGCCTGTTGATTGATGATTGTAAAAAGGAAGTGGGACACAGTAGTGTGTATTTCAGGGCTTGAAACCGCTTGGCTGTTTTGTTGTTACTTATTGTAAAGCAGGCCTGAGAGTTTATATATATTTATATAAGACCTCCTGTGGTACTTCTCCACAAATTGCTGTTTCGTGGATGAATTAAGAAACACATGTAAAACAGTGGCAACATTGTTTTTTTTATTTGTGGTTGATCAATAATTCTTGTGCACAAGTAAAACACCCACACTCTTACTATAATTAGTGGAATGCGAACAAAACACATTTTTGGGGATAAATTAAGGTACCAAACATGCAGGCAGTTCATTAACCGCTCAGCAGCCACATCAATTGATGCACAAACCAGTAATTAAGATTACACTGGACTACTACAAATGCACATAGCCAAGGGGGAAAGAAATTAAGAGAGGCTGTGCAGTCTACAATATATTGTGTTTAACCCAGAATCACATTCCAAGACAAGGGAGCCAAGTGAGCAAAAACGTATTGCGTTCATAGTCAGGTTACTGAGTCTAGCCGGGAGGAATAAAGACAAAAGACCACATTCCTGGCAGTTGAGTAAAAAAAAAGAAGAAAGAAACGAAAAAACTGTCAATCATCTGTGCTGCTTACTTGAAATTAAATAATTTACAATGTTATTCATCCAGTCCACAGAGAGAAAAGCGAGCAGAATATATAGCGCTGCCTTGCCCCAGAGCTACCGTGATAACGTCCATGTTAGCAATGTTCTCAGACTGACTGACAACCTGCATTGTTCCAAGTAATATAAGATGAATTGTCCAGCAGCTGTGCAATGTACACTGAGGCATCCGCTGTATCTGTATTTTACTCTGATGCAGCAACCATAATCAATCAGTTTTACGATGCTGAACAGGGCATTGTTCAGTGCATCAGTTCGTTGTTCATTTTTGCTCCAAACATTGTTAGTTATCATCTGGAGAAAACAGATGATAACAGACGGTGTTTCCGTAATAGAATGAGATAAAAAAAGAAAGGGTCGAGTGAAATGAGGCCTCCTGCATGCTGTTGGACTCACTTTAATAATGTCGGTGGTGGTGCGAGTGCAATGGTCACAACCTGCTCAGGGACGTGCAGGGTTAAGGTGGCGCATTTATTTCATGTGTCCTCTGACTGTCGGCGAAGTCAGTCATGCAAAATGTTTTCATCCGCTTCCAAATAAAAAAAACAAACAGAAGATAATTGTTTGTTTTATAACGGCCAAGGACGATCCCGACCCCCGCCTTGGAAAGCTGCTGATTAGATTAGAGAGCTGCAACCATAGACGTAAGTGGACGTAGCTGACATGGTGTCACCAATGGGTTTGTGTACTAATGTTTACCATCTATTAAATGAACATCATTCTGTATCGAAGAAGACTTGAAACTAGAGATTGAGACCAAAAACGTGTGTTTACATTGTTCATTGGGGTAATAAATCAAGTGGGAAATAGAGTCACCTTCCTATAGACCTTTATAGTCATCAGTCCTTTTTTCGCATGGCAGCGTTGACTGTGTTCACACGCATCCCTTAGTGTTCGGGGCGGCGTCTGTGTGCATGTGCATATGCATGTTTTCATAAGAAGCCCATTTGGTTTGTTGCTGGCAAGATGATAATGTCTAACAAGGAGCGGGTGCAGAGGGTTCTGTGAGATTCTTCCACAGGAGGCAAAGGATGTGCAGGTAAAGAGAGACTGGAAGAGTAATGGAGAGCAAGAGAGAGAGAGAGAGAGAGAGAGAGAGACAAACTGAAAGAGACAGATGTAGAAAATCACTTAGGCATGGATGAATGCGGCTGGTCTGAGGTGGCAGCTTCAACGGAAAAGCCTTGAAATTTGAAACAGCAGCTGTGGGGCTTTTCTGCCTTGTGCGTGGCACATTCTTTACACCGCGGTATTTCCACAAGGAAACACCTGCTTTTAACATCTTTCTGCTGATTCCCAGGATTCCTTTCAACGACCCCTCAACTGTGGTCCGTAGTTGACATCAATTTTGTGTGTGAAATTGGTTTCTAATTAATCAATAACAAGCGTTGATTGCAGAGTTATACAAACCGAAATAACAATAGCCATTACGATTACAGTGTCTTAACGTCGCATCGTTTCTAATGGTTGTAAAAACTGATTTTCTCTTAATTTGTTCCCTCTGTAAACATTGTGAACACGAGTTTACGAGTTTTACATTCACATCTCCAGAGAGTTATTGGCTGAATTATACTGTATTTGGTGTGATGACCACAGAACAATAAATAAAATCAACTCAACAGAAAGTTGAGTGGCTACAAACCGCCAATCCATGCTGTTGAAAATCTCCAAGAATCCACGTTTAATCTTAGTCCCCTTTGGTTTTCTGGATCTATTCTAAATTGTAGCCTAAATACAAGTATTTTCTTTCCAACCACAAAAATGGCAGCAGGGCGAACAGAGGTGCGTCTTTGCCAGTGTGTTAATTTCGCAGCTCTTCATAGCGAGAGGCGTGTCACAGCTGTGGCTCCGTTAATGCAAAGTAATGATTAAATAAATGAATGCAGACCAGCCAGCGCACCACAATGTTGTTAATGGAACAAAAAACTGGCGTGTATTTTTACTGGAATCAGACCACTTTAATAAAAATGTGAACACTTATAGAATCTAGTTTAGAGATGTGCACATGCATACTGACACAAAGACATGTCTGAAAGCACATGAACCCAATATTTTTGTATAACTTTATAGCTGTAGCTTTTAATTTGATTTGAAAAATCTTTAAGCTCACATAAAAAAAAAAAGCATCTGCAGTTGAATGCAAAAATGTTGCTTGATGTTGTTCACATCAAGCACCATTTTTGCAACAGTTTGAGGGTTAAACTAAAAACTTTGGAAGTGGCCCCTGGTTGTAATACAATAATAGCACATATGAAAGCTTTCTTCAAGCTGATGCAGAACTGTCTTTAAGCTTCTGACTATTGACCAGCGTGATGGAAAAAAACCTCTACCAATACCATATAACATTATTACAGAGTGCTAGGATACTGAAGTAAAGAAACTTGAGAAAGACCTTCATCTTTCATTGTTTATTCTCTAGTCAGAGTGCGATGCAGTCTGCTGGAGGACGAGCCGACTCTGCGGGATCTGCTAATGAACACAGATGTGCTAATGAACTTGAGAGGACCCCCTCTGACTACGTCTGACCTTTAATCATCTTGTTTGAAACTGGGTGTCATATAACTTCAGTCTTATCCCAGGTGCATTGAAAGGGTCTAAACACGGTCCTATTGTAAAATGACTAACACAGTGAACAGCAGGAGGGAGCTGGTATACAAATAAGTCTGATTGTGTAGTCGATGAGAAAATAATAATTCTTATAATAATTCTTAGGTTATTCCCTCAGTAGACATTGTAAGCACGTGTACATGTTCCTAATCTAGTTTGGAGTCTTCTTCGATACAGCAGGATTCATTAAATAAATTCACTTTGCGGGCGTACTGTGATTGACAGGTCTCTGCCGCTATCAGAGCCGTCGACGGCGTCTCTACGTCACTCCTCCTCATTCCCACTGAGGCTGCAGTTGTAAGGAATAAGGGGAGGGCTGACATGACTGACCGTTATCCAGCAGCCCACCCTGCCTGCCACACCCTCACCTGTGTCTGCCCATCTTAACAAATTCAACATCAACACCCACCAACCCATGCGGGTGTAGAGGGGCTTGACGGGCGCCGGGATAATCGATGAGGCAGGGGTGTCGCGACATCACCGGTTACCACGGTAACAAAGTCCCCAGAACAGATGGCGGCATGCTGTGTGCGAAGCAGGAAGAGGGGTCGCTGGTCCTAAAAAGTGACAGTGATGTGATTTGGACAGGACATCGGATGACGCTGCCAGTCAGGCGGCTGTCTCGCAAAACTCGTGTCCATCACTATTTGTTGCCCCTGATTCCCTTGAGTGAGTCATCAGAAGATAAAAGGCAGGCACATGAACGTTATTTATATGTTTCAGGTGTTATTTAGCGGCACTTAATGCTAGATGGACCCAGCAGTGCCACAAGCAGGGGGAACACGGCCAGAGTGAATAATGTTTGTGCAGAAAGGACATGCCGAGCTTAGTGTCAACAGGAGAAAAAGAGAAACAGAGGCACTTAGGGAGCCGTGTTTTAGCCGTATGTCTTCACCGGGCCGGGAAATTCGCTTTGTGCACTAATCTTTCATGGCGGGGCAGCTTACCCATTTGTAGCCCTTCCGGTTGTCTGTTCTCTGCAGAATTTGTGGGTTTATTTAAAAGATGTTCAACTGTTTGTGTGTGTGTGTGTGTGTGTGTTACTTGCTAATCAGAAAAGCACAGACAACCAACGCCGGTTTTATGGTAATGCCTTTGATTATGTAGTGTTATTGTTGAGATGGTAATGAAACATGCACACAGCATTCTCAGTAACGTTGCGTCTAATGTATTATGACACCAACGATAAATAAACAAATTGCTTAAAACCTCTTAAGCCACAACGGCCCCCAGTTTGCAGCATATCTTTGATAGATATGCTGCAAAGCCCTCACGGTGAAACCCTCAGCGTGCCAGAGCCAAAGAATATCAACAAGAGAAACCGTTTTTTTACAAAAGTCAGCCAGTACAAACACGCTCTTGGCTTCTAGAAGCTTTTGTTCTTTGGTGGAAGGTTCAAAGGTTACGCGTCAGTCCGACCCTTTCACGTGCAGCTCAATCTCTTTTTTTGATGGAAATAGCTTAATTATAGTTATGGTGATTATTAAAATAAAATCCCAAATGATAATGTCATTTTCTTTTGGAATTTTGGAGTATACGTAAATATGAGTAAACACACAGAGGGACTCATTTTGGTTGAGCGCAGATAAGGATTATTGAATATTATTAAACAGCAGAAATGTGATCGTTGTTATTGGCGATGAACACTGCAGCTCTGGTCCTCTCTTTGGTCCGCCAGTTTAACTACAGACTTTCTCACCCAGAAGACGTGAACATCATCAATAACTCATCAATCCTGCTGCATTCCTTTCTTTCTGAGCTCATTATTGTTCATTCCCGCTCTTGAAGTATTACATGAATTAATTCATGCCCTTTTTTTTAATGATCTAAGTCATGCATGAATTCATGATAATTCCCCAAAATATGTCACACATGGTACGATGATGGACGAAAATAAAATTACTCTGACGAGCACTTCAGAAAACGACATTCCCTCACAGCTCCGTCCCTCCCTGCCGATGATTAACGAGCAGGAAAAGCTGCTCAGCCCCAAAGACACTTCAGAATAGATGGTGTTTTCCTAATGAGCTTCACCACTGGCATGTTCACTGGCTGAGTTCTCCCCCTGGCCTTCTTCACTGGCTGATCCCGACGTCTCAAGGTGTGTGTGTGTGTGTGTGTGTGTGTGTGTGTGTGCGTGGCCCGGATGTGCCATGTCGTCAGGCAGAGTGTAAACTCATGGTTGTGCAGCATGGAGCTTAACAACTGCGCCAAATTACGAGCGACACCTTGAGAACGGCAGGATGAGCGTGCCGCTTGAAGAACGCGATCCTGCCATGAATCACTGCTCGGACGTGAGATTTTGCGTCTGTTTTTGTAGGTCAGTGCCGGTGCGGACAGTGTACCTGCTACCCACCTGGGGACAGTCGTGTTCACGGCAAAAACTGTGAGTGTGACGACCGTCAGTGCGAGGACATCGGGGGAGAGATTTGCGGAGGTGAGAGCACGTACACACACACACACACACACTCATCTGTGTGTGCGTTAGGGCCTGCTCAGGTTTATCGGCTGGATTCGCTCAATCGCTGTCGACATTGTTAGCTGGCCTTTGGCTCAGCCGGGCCGCGGGCTGTAGATATGCCCTGAATTTAATCTGACCACCCTTTCAGATTCATAATATCATGATCTGGATTATTTTGGAGTATTAAGACTTTTTTCTTTTAGATGATATGAGGTTACTGTCATAATTTGTCTTCTACAGTTATCCGCCCACTACTCTCTGCTGCCGCCTCAGGGTTTATATTTATGAACGCATCAGGGGAACATCCTCCTTTGCACCCGACGACTGTAACACCGACTGAACGCAATTCTCTTGTTTATTTCCGTCAGTGCCGTGTCCTTTTGAACCCTCCCATCTCAGATTTTTTTTAGCACTGGTTGGTTTGTCACCATTCCCTGTTTTTGTCCTAGAAGAGCATTGCTCTTATGAGATGGTGTTAGAAGCTATTTTAATATTACATTTATTCCCGGGGCCCCAAAAAGCCTGAAAACCAAGGATCACATCCGCCAGAAGCTTGAGCCGTTTAAAAAGTTTGCATATTCGCATTGTATTTTGAATGAGTTCAACCACCACGGTGGGCTGTTTTCTGTGCGGTTGCAGTGAGAGTTTTTTTAGAATGTGCTATTGCTGTGACTGAGAATAGCTGCAGAGGCTCAGGGGTAACAGAGACCTTATATTCCCATTTTATATCAACGAGAACATGAATCGGCCATACATCCTCTGATGCGCTTACACCCCTCACGTAATTATTGCAGAGGAAACTGCACGCGCTTTGTGTGCGCACATACCCGCACCCACTTTGAAATACTGCCAGGAGCAGACGCCGAATTTGAAGATCAATACGGTGTGATCCTATCTGCTCTCTTTGATATCCACAGCCCCCCGACACCCGACCCCCACCCCAACAGCCTAGTGCTGAGCTGGAAATTCCTTCAAGTCTTCAAAGCTTTGGTCTGAGGTCTCGGGGAAGTTTGGGCTCTTAATATGAGCCATTTAGGCACAACCGCTGTAATGGGTGGATGCGCCAAAAACATTAGAGATTGATGCTCAATTGAAATTGATGTTTTCCTTTTTCATCTGGTGCTGTTCCTGATGTCAGACAGGAACAGAGAGAAGGGATCACAGTGTTCCTAAAGAAAAGTTACTCCTCACCCAAATATAATCTTTACTTTAATTTACAGTATAATTTTCTTAATTTGACTGTAATTTCTGTTACAATAGTTCAGGGATTCCCAAATAGGGGTGCAGGCACCCCTGGGGGTGCGCAAGCGGCCTCTAGGACAGGAAACATTCAGTAATAATTCAATAGGTAAAAATGAATAGGGTTTTTACACAAATAGAGACATAGAATTATAAAACTACCCTTTGCCAGGTTACAATTAAAAATGTACAATTTATCAAATAAATACACTTCAGCTCCTCCTTTTACGTACACACTAGCTAACGTTAGCCTAGTTTGTGCAGCTAACATCAGCTAACAGCTAAGCTTTTCAGAAACATTTATAAAACATGCTGAAATCGGGAAACATCTGAAGCTATCAGTCCCCAGAGAGGAGAGGGACGGAGAGGGACGGAGAGGGACAGAGAGGGACAGAGAGACAGGAACAGAGAGTTAATAATCACGTCTCTTAAGGCTGCCGCATGCGTCTGCGTCTTTACGCACAGTCGTGTCGACGCACTAGTTTCTATTCATGGTTCAAAAAGTCTTGCGTGCGTTGCAAAGCAATTCACAACTATAGGTGGAGTAAACCTTTTTATCGAAGACGACCTAGAGAGGCACGTCTTTGTGTGTGGAAGTCGGTTTGTTTATTTATTGTGGTAGTTTGTAGAAGTGGTCATGTTTATGGATTTATTCCGACAAAAGATCTTCAATCTGAATTATTCTCTCGCAATTATTCTTGCAAAAATTCTTTGTTAATAAAGGCGGTACTGTGCTATGAAACCAGAGATGTGAGACTCTGTAAAGGACGTAGTTAGCAGACCAATCGCAGCCTTGGCTGGCGTAGCCTTTGACGCTAGTCCAGAAAAATTGGTCGACGCATGCAAGGAGGTGTGAAAAGTCACGCAAGGAACACGCAAGGGGCTCTTGCGTCTGGGTGTCCTTGTCTCTCTGAGAAGCATAAACCAGGCTTTACTCGCTAACGTTAGCCCTCTCTCTCTGTGAAGCCCTCAGATGGATTCCTCTCTTTCTATTCATACCTGTTTCTGAGACTATGCATGTCCCATTATTTGTTCTTTATATGTTTTATTGTGTTTAAGTCATTTCAAATTCCCCTACCTCCGAAAGTCAGTCGTGATGTGTAACTTTACATATATATTATATTTACATATATAATAATAATTTAGCTGCTATGGTTAATTGTAAATGGCATATGATGCAATCTGCCTCTGAGCCTGTGCCTGTGTCCTCGTCCTACTTATTGCTCCTTTAAAGAGAGTTTATTGAAACTTTGTTTCAAGGGTATTTATGTAGTTTTTTCTGCTTTGTCCTGATTCAGAATGAATATGATACAATGTTGTAGTTGACCTGTTCGTTCTGTGTTCACACTGCAACATTTAACAGTGGACTAAATATTGTAAACAAACATCACGTGTGAGCAAACTGTTCTGTCATTGGTCCAACGTTGGTGAATGCAGCTATAAATAGACTTTGGTGTTGGGGGTTGGGGGGGCGGCATGGACCCAGTTGGGATGTAGGAGGGGGTGCGTGGCATAAAGAATTTGGGAACTGCTGCAATAGTTCATCTGTTTTCAATTTGATCACAGACATTTCTGTTTCCACTAAACGTTCATGCTTCTTTGAAATCTGCTATAAAATTGAAACAACATGACATGTGCACAGCTTTTCAAAAGAGTAAACAGACAGACAGATTTCTCCCAAACTCTGACAACAATGAGGAGATTCCATTTGAGTCACTTTGTTCACTGTTTAATCCGCTGCCTCTCTCTCTCTCTTGAGACATCAGATGCTCAGATTATTTGAATCCATTCTTGAATCAGTCTATTTACGTCTCCCAGCACTGATTTCTTTTTAAATGTTTATTTTCTGCCTGAGCATTTTGTATCAGTGGCGCAGTGCAGCATCAGAGAGTAAATGTCTCCTTTAAAGGGGGGATGCAGCATTTATGTAGGTGAATGGCTCACCGTGGCTCATTGTGTGCCGAGCTGTCTTTCAACACAACGCTTTCTTGAGGTTTGCAGGGAGAGCCAGTCTGAGCACCAAGCACACACACAGTCACACACACACAGAAATGCTAAGCTAAGTCGGTATACTCAGAGGCCTGCAGTGAGAAGCTGGGGATCAAACGGGAAAGTAACATTATGTTACCTATAGACAGCCGAACAGGGGGGGAAGTGACAAGTGACACGGGCTTCGTGCATTTAATGCAATTACTAAGTGTTAGTCAGCTCGGGCCACACTTGGCTCTCAAGGGTTTCATCCAAACGGCAAGAAGGAGAGGAGGGAGCAGCCAGATATCCTCTTTGCACTCTGCCATCGAGGCCCCAGTGCTCATTGCTCAGGATTTAGAAAATCTTGTCCAATGTATATAGTATGTTTTTCTTTGTTTATATTTTGTTTGTAGATGTCGGATTTTGGAATTTATATGGTGTGTTATAATACATTCTTTCCATTGTGTGTTCAATAGATGTATATCTCTAGCTAGCCACTGTATGTCTACCCTGCTGCTGGTAGAAAGTTTGTATTAAAAAAGTTTGATTATCCATCTATTGCAAAGCACTGTGGCATGGCATCACAGATGACACAATATATCCACATTAAACCAAACATGATCACATTAAAGATTTCCTGATTCCTGCGTCTAAATCAGAAATAGAGCCAATAATGGAAAAAAGATTCCGGAAGGATCCTAATTATTGTCACTAAAAGTGAAGTGCGGTGGGACAGAGTGGGGGCGACTTGAAATCCACTTGTTTCTCGGGCGCGGGCAGTTTCAAAATAAATTCTTCTTCAGATTCTTTAAACAAGTAACGGGTGACGTTCCCTTGTTCATGAAGTCAGGACTGCTTTGGAGCCACAGAGTGTGCATGGAGGCTCACATCCTCACCCTGGCTTTTACAAACTGCGTGCTTTCCTTTCTCACAGACAAGAACTCTGAGACACTCTCTGCATACAGCACAGACCTTTAAACACTCGATCCGCCACTGCCCCCCTCCCTCCCACTGTCCATCTCTAAACGGCATGGCACAATGCACGCTCTGTGAAAGGCAGGTGCAGACTCATTGAATGAGAGCCAGGTTGCCGCTCCTCTAAAGCAATTAACTGCTCTCCCAGGCAGGATGATTGAGGCGGCCATGCATGACCTGTCACGGCTGCCAATTCACTCCGACAGCTAACTTTCATTAATAATCTCCCAACAACACCAGCGCGCGCACACACACACATGGCTCTGACACACCTTCCCGCCTACCTCTGTTTGAACAGCAAAAAAAGAAAAGAAAAAGGTGTCATGAAGCAATATGAGCTGTAGAATTGTCCGCTGCAGAGTTGGCGTTGAGCTTTTATTTTGTACAAGCTGTGCCTCTAAAGATAATGGAGATTTTGATTCCTTCATCATCCATTTAAAGGCGGATTTCCTCTAGCTCCATTCAGTCTGAAAACTGGGATGATATACTCTGTATATACGGGGTGGAGATGAGGTGTCTGGTGGTACTACAGCAGATACTTCTCTGCAGCTGACAGATTAGGACGTGGACTTGCAGGTTGGACTCAAGTTGCACACAAAGACAAAAAAATATCTTGGGAGCATCTCTGCAGGTTATTAAGTGATAAGAGGAATTAGATGGACCCAGCGTTTTCATACAATATGATGTAATCTATGTTTATGTCATGATTGCAATACATTCCACTTACCTTGAATTATTAAAGTCAATATCCATTTTTAGGGGGCAAATACAACCGTTTTATTTCATAGGAAAGTTTTCGTGATGTTTTTTCCAATTGTTTACCTGAATACCAAACCACTGATAGCCCTCCGAGCCACGGATATAACATGAAAAGTGAGATTGTTCACACAATGTGGGCGGGTGGCGTATCGAACAAACACGGCACTTCGTTCCAAGAGACATCTGTTAATGTCCGGAGCAAAACTAAAAATAGCATTTTGGAGCATTTGTTGCTTATTGGATACTGTTTACAACTTCAACCATTTGGTCCTGAAAGAAGTACATTTTCCTTCAAAATGTAATTGAGAGTTCAGGTTAATTGTACACATATTTAATTATATATGAAAGTGGGTTGGAGCAAAAACTGTATTCTAAAAAAAAAGGATAATAGGAAATTGATGGAAATGCTTTTTCTAATTGACATTTCAGTAAAACAAAAATAATTGTAAAAACTCTTCAAATTTGTGCCTCGATACATTTTTATTACATTATAGTGCATCGTCTTCGGCGGACTGTATGACCTGTCAAGTCTCAGTTGAGCTGTGTGAATGTCCAATAGCAAGATCTAGGATGATGGAAATGATGTGAAAATGCATCAACTTATCTTCCACCTGACACGTGTAAATAGATGTGTGAACACAATGGAGTCAGTCAATGATGCCTCTGCATGATACGAGTGAGTTGTATTGTAGTAAGCCCTCGGTGAGTGAGTAGCCGTCAGAGATCAAGGCAGGAATAATCGTGTGTGTGTGTGTGTGTGTGTCACACTGTCAGCTATTGGAACAACATCCTTCAGCCAATTAAGCATCCCTGGTTTGTTTGGTGTGTGTCGACGTCTGCCTTTGCCTTCCTTTGTTTCTTTCCATCGTTCCGTGAGATCTATGAAGAACAGGACGAGGCCAGCGATGACGGCTCCCTTTCACGTCCCTGGAGACAAAACAATGAACAATGAACCTCTCCCGTCTTCCCGCGGCTCGGCCTCCTTGTGCCTCCTGTTGCTGTCAAAGTTCACTGTCAACTGTGTTTGTGTGCCGCTTTTTTCTTTAACGTTCACTCCGTCTATGAAGGCCTTCACGGTTGTCGTTGTTGTCGTTGTTGTTTTTTCTCTTTTCCGGTTGCGCGACTCTCTTGCGGCCGCGCTCCGTGTTCCGCCCCCCTGCCGTCCGCCGCCAGGTCACGGCTACTGTTCGTGCGGACGCTGCATCTGCGAGGACGGCTGGTTCGGGAAGCTGTGCCAGTTCCAGAGGTCCTGCGACATGAGCGACGTCCAGAGCAAAGAGCTGTGCGAGACTTCGGACGGAGTCCTGTGCAGCGGGAAAGGTCAGCGGGAGGCTTTCCACTGCTGATACAGTCAACAAGGTTCCCATTAAACCCACGGGATATTACTTTGTACTTAGTCGTACAAAAGTAGGGATACCAAACAAAGAATAAATCAAGGAATAATACTGCTTTGAAAACATTACCAAATGTAACTCGCCAAATGTTGTTGTTAATAATAAAAGAATAAAAGCACTCGTAACGCAGACAAACGCCCCTTATACATTTTAAATGATCAGACAGCCTCTTATATCACTGGATTATCATTATGATGAGTACTCTTTAGCTTCTTTTATTTAAGATATTTTGGGGAATTTCCATCTACTACAGCATTCTAACTTGTTATTTTGAATCTTCAAAGCCACACAGCAAAATAACTGTAGTGGAATAAAAACTGCACTTCTAATGTAAAAGTGCAACAACAACAAAGGCTTTTCTGCTGATGGAACCTGTGGCCTTTCTTCCCCCGACTTTCTTAGGAGGCTTAACATCCCTTTGTACGTCCTTTCTCTACAGTATATCACCCCCCCTCCATGTATAACTGAGATTAAGCAATTTGGTAGTTCCATTCAGTGCTTTCGCCGGATTATAATTCTTGTCTCACTTCCTTTCTGGAGAACGACTCAAAATGTATCAACCTACACATCGATATGTTTTACGTCACAGACACTTAAAACACTTAAAACATTTCACCTTTGTGAAATGAATGAATTGTGACAAAACAAAAATATCAAGGTGTACAGCTTGGATTTGAAATGGGAAAAGTTGATTAACAACATAATGTGTGTGTGTGTGTGTGTGTGTGTGTGTGTGTGTGTGTGTGTGTGTGTGTGTGTGTGTGTGTGTGTGTTGCAGGTTCTTGTCACTGTGGCAAATGTATCTGTTCCCCCCAAGACTGGTGGGTGTCTGGAGAGTACTGTGAGTGTGACGACCGAGAGTGCGACAAACATGATGGTCTCACCTGCACAGGTAGGGTGGGACATGCAGTTCACACCAACACACACACACACACACACACACACACACACACACACAAACACACCATTGTATCCGTAGTATTTGAAGCAATCCCTCTAACGTGAACAGCGAGGATTCTCTCTACAGAGCTTCTCTCTCTAAATAGCAGCTTATCCACAGGAGCCGTCGTCTCCCCGCTGATAATGAAAAATCTCAGTACGTTTTTGTAATTATTGTTGCCCCCGAGCCCGTCAGGATCTGGACAGCTCTTCAGAGGTGTTTCTCGTCGTTACTTCATGACTCCAAATGTCAGCCTTAATGCCATTCAGATGAGCATCGGGGGCTCCAAATGGAGGCAGGAGTTGATTAAAAAAATGGAATGACTTTGATTCTGGAGACGTCCCCGATCCTTCAGAGCTGTAAAACGCAGCATCTGGGGAAAATTCATCAATGCGATTTTCCAATAACCTGAAAATGTGTATTAGTAACGCAGTAACACAAGTGTCTGTTGGTTTGAGTGAACGGAGCCTTGCGTAAGTGCAATCAGACAACCTCCAGAGGCTTAATATTCATTTTCTCATTAAAACATCAAAACCAATGTTGAATCATCTACTAGCAAGACCCTACGCTTGATTTATCTAATTTCTCTGTGTCAAAAGCTATTTTAAAAAAACGATGAGCTCTACCACTGCAATGGGGGAAACACTCCTTAAAATCATGAAAACACACACATCATGCAGGGCTTTTTTTTGTCCCACATACACTCTCACGGTGCTGAAAATACGGTGCTGATGGAAGAATTACTGAGGCATTTGCCTGTTTGAAAATAGCAAATGGTGTAAACAGACAAATCGAAAGGAGCAAACAATATGAATCCTGACAAAAAATAAGACTTACATTAAAGAAATACAACCAAATTACTCAAACAAAGAACAAGTACCTTCAAATTCTGTTAAAGTAAATTACTAATTTTATTGAATTAGGATTTTAAAACTGCGTTCAAATTGATGTCTAATAATTCTCAGTTTAAAATAGTTAAATCACTCGGCTGTATGTGCGAGACCTTGTTGTGAAGGACGGAAGTTGGAATGTTTTGAGAGACAGACTTGAAGGATTGTTGGTTTTGGGGCTTTTAAGGGCTTTACTGACAATGAGACGAACAAACAGAGCGGCCAGACTTTTCCTTCAATGATGGAGAAGCTTCTGTCTAATCTGCTCCTTGGATTCACAAGATCAACAAGCGGTTAAGCTGACTTTTATTGTTCCTCTTCTCACCTACAGCACTTCCCCATCTGTGCTCTGGCACCAAAAAGCAGTCTGGTTGAAAAGTCTTACTTTAGGAACCTAAATGACCATAAAGCGGGTATATTTCAGGGCGGGGCCACCTGGTGATTGAAGGGTTGCTACCGCAGCGTTGTCCCCTCTGGGAGTCGTTCATGCCGTTTTGATTAGAACTTTCAAGTTTTGGTCGCCCGACAATTATTTATTAGTTATTGCTTTTTTTAAACTAAGATGGATCAAACTCCAGGCTTCAAAACTGTAGCCGACAAACTAATGTGTGACTATATTCTTTATGGCGGTCTCAGGGTGGATGTCTGTCTTTTTCCCCCTCTTAATCAAACCAGTGCTTTCTCTCCTCTTCTGTGTTGGCACAAGCCGCGTGGAACCGCAGAAGCGTCCACAGCAGGGAACCCAATGGGGCAGAGAAATCCAACCCGGTCATAAAGCCCGGTGTGAAAAGAGGAACCTTGTTAAAGGTTCCGGCATGGCGGCGGCGCAGCTCTCAATTGACACCTTCTCTTCTCACATTGCCCTCACAGGGAACGGCTTGTGCAGTTGCGGCAACTGCGAGTGCTGGGACGGCTGGACGGGCAACGCCTGCGAGATCTGGGTGGGAGAAGAGTACTGAAGGGGGGGGGAGAGGCCCGGAGCAACCAGACGCAGCAGCGCTGATCGTCACCACCAGGCTGGTTAAAAAGCACCGCAGGAAGGAGAAGACCAAACTAAACCTGGATTTCATTCAGCATATCACTAACAGCATTCATTATTTTATTGTACTGGTTACAAGTGATCCTCATTGTAGGTGTGGAAGAAACATATTACCGTGCAAACATCGGTTTCTAAAACAGCTTTATGTATATTTCATTGTTTTATTCATAATGTAGGAACGCTTAGTCCATGTGGACACACATGATACGATGCAATGACCCGTCCAGATGTTGGAAAGGAAACAATTATTAAAGTCGTGTTTATTTTTAATAATGTAGATCCGTTTTTTGACTGATGAGGTGTGTTGCTCCACAACTGGACAGAAAGTTCACACACAGTTGAGGCCGAGGTTACTGTTTGAGGTTTTTATTTCTTTTTTTAATAATAAAACATTAAATGTGCCGCATGACAACATTTTGCATGGAAAACAATGAGAAGACCTTAATCATACATGGTTACAAATCTGTTATAACATGACATAACTCCAATGGGCATACTTGCAATGGAATATATATATATATATATATATATATATATATATATATATATATATTCTTATTTTTGTTGTTGTTTGAAAATAAATAATTGTAATAGTGCCTATTCTTCTCCACCGGGTAACCAAACAATTTGCCAATGAAAGCTCACCGTACAGACGGTACGTGACGGACATTTCCCGCCCAACACAAAGGTGACGGTTACATTCCTGCGTGGAGGAAATGGGGGGGGGGTCATACACGGTTCCGTGGTGGCATGCTGGATGTCCCCGTCACTTCGAAAAGGTGGCATCAGGGGAGGAGAGCTGCATTGACACGAGCGCTCCGTCACCACGTGAAAAGAAAGCCGATGAGAAGTCACAAAGGAAATTTAATGTAAATTCTACTTTGGCCTTTTTTTTTTTTCATGCTTCAACTTGCCAAACCTCCGTTTTCTTTGTCCCATCGAAAGTGACAGGTGCAATAATATACTGCACGCTATATTGCATTAAGTATGTTACTGACATTACAGTACGCCTTTTTGTATAAATATCCTATTCAATATGTGGTGTGTGCGTATACAACGAACACAAACTGTATAGTGTAGACAAACTCGTTGCATATATGTATGTAAAATTAGCGCTACATACCAACAGTTCTCGATAGACAAAGCCTACTACATGCAGTTCATCAATGCCATCCTCTCCCCATGCAACAGACGGGACAATGCACAAAACAAGAGGTTGGAAACGGAGATTTTCGCTAGAATATTCTTGTGATGCATCTATAAAGACGGGGGCGGGGCCAAGCAAACGTGATTGGTATCAGGAGACAACATCACGCACGACCCGTATACGAGAAAAAGTCCAAAAAACTAATTTGAAATAAAACGGTGGCCGCAGAGACCCATACAGAGATGCACATTTACACACCGGGCATTTACAAAAATAAAGTCGGCCTCTTATGGGCCAGTTGTCTGGACCGCAGGACTGAAGCAGCAGCCCAGCATGTACAGTGTGTGTGAGGATGTTTGGCTGTAATGAGGACCGCCCCATGTACAACGACAGTGGTTTTCAGCTCTTATGTGTGTGTGTGTGTGTGTGTGTGTGTGTGTGTGCATCGTATGCCATTTAACAGCTTTGTACAGATTAGCATTCCAACGAGTGTGCTTCGATGCGCTGTTACAAGAAACAATCATATAAACCCAATAAAATGATATTCACCTTCATACTAAAAATGTCTTTTTCAGCAACGCACGCGGCAGCAACAATCTACTCCATATTCTACAACTATTGGGGAAAGAAATTCCTGAATAGCCAGAACAAATGTTATGAATTGATCCATTGAGGACAGAACTTTGATAAACTGCCAAGAGTCGGGAGGGAGATGCAGACACAGAGAGCGCAGCGGGTTTAGCCTTCGGATGCGCTGTGAGCTGCAGCCTGCGACATGCGACTCCCGACACCCAGCGATGCCCCCACCCGGCTCCTCATAGAAAACACATGCACGGGATTAATTCAAGGTATACGTACGTCTCTAAAATGACATCAAGCAAAGACTTTTCATTGAGGGTCAGATTGTTTCGCACAGAACAAAACGCAATCACAGTGAAAGCTTCGATGGATTGAATCAGATTGGTTTTTTCTTTAGCCAGGAATCGGTTTTGTTTCTCGGGATGAAGGAAAAAAAAGACTTTGGTCATTTTCCGAGCAGAGCACATGTGAGTGTGGCTTGTCAACGGGCAATGCTACGTGTCCTCTGCACGGATGTGGGGGGGGGGTTAGGCACCATCGGGCCCCAGTGACAGGGACTGGGAGCCTGTTTTCGCATGCCGGGGAGCGAGGTCCAAACAGGCATGTGACAGGCCAAGATGATCAGTACTGGACTCTGCATGCTGAGCTAGGAGACAAATCCTCTCCGAGTAATAATAATAAGAACAATATCTAGTCATTTAAAAAGTTATGATTTATAATATTCATTTTCCCTAAGTGTTATACAACATTTTACAATATAAGCCATCTCCTGTATAACTGCTGCAAGAAGAGAGAGCACAACATTACCTTTGCCCATGCGTTAGGTCGGCCAAACCCAATAGGGACGCAGCCAGTATAATGTTGCCTACTGGTTTTCAGCCATGTTGTTTTTCTGTTGTTGTTTTTTTTTAAAAGGCGCTGCCATGAGATGGCTGCCAGCGCCGCCGCCGTCGACCATCTGGGTCAAAGCCACGAGCCTTCGCCTCGTAGTCCAAAGAAGTCAGCGAGTGAGGGACACAGGCCCACAAGGCCTAGAGATATTCCTAGAGCCTACGCTCGGAAATGAGATTAAAGAAAAATAGACTTCAGGTTCTTTCTATTTACCAGAGGAGGCGGAAGCAAAACCGCTGGTGGGACTAAGATAGTGATATGTAGACACCATTCCTTACAGCGCTCTACCGCCCACACCACACATCTGTTGTGTGTCTGTGTGTAGGGAGCTCCTCGCATTGATTGCCGTGGCGGTAATTAACACTTCTTCATCTATGATTGCTGGAGCTCTCTGCCAGCCTCCAGCGCGTTTCTACCGGCTGGAAAACAACCCAAAGAAAAGCAAGCAAAAAAAAAATAACTCTGAGTTTTCCCACTCCACAAACTTGTGTGTGTGTGTGTGTGTCTGTCTGTTAGTGTGTGTGCGTGGGTGCACGTAGTGGCCAACAAGAAAATTTGAATTTGTTTGCGTGCAAATGTTGCCACATCTGTTTGAATGTGTTTCTTAGAAAATCACACAACTCCCCTGCAAAAAACGTTTTCATCTTTTCTGGGTTACTTGTCAAAGAGGAAAAGCCGAGCGTGGTTGGATATAGAAAGAGAGGGAGAAGAGGGGAACGTACTGGTAAAAAATAGAGGACAACAGTCCAAATATTTGCTCTATCTATACAGTCTCTATCCCAGAACATAGCTGGTGAACTGTGGTATAGAAAATAGATCTCATGGTACACAGACTCTGCTGAAGCAGGGGGGCCATTGCAGAAAGAGAGGGGCGAGGGGGGGGGTTCTTGCAAGCAGAGTGCCGCATTCACACGGGGGTTCTCACAGTTTTTAGGTGGAATCTAAAGGCATTCCATGATCAGGGATCCTCTTCCTCCCTCCTCTGTGCCGCCTCGCTGTCCGTGCATCCGCGTGGAGAAAAGGGGGGGTGGGTGGGGTCGAGGCGGGAGGAGGAGTCGCAAGAGACAAAAAGGGAAGGTTGCTTTTTTTGCCTGGATCCGGTCCACAGAGGAGGAGAGGGTCTGGGCTCCAGTCTCCGTCATGCCCCCGTCCCCAGCTCAGGGGCGCGCCGGCCGCTGGTCGGGGGCGGGGCTATGTGGCGGGCTTGTCCGGCTTGCTTACGGGTTTACCTCCGTTCATCACCGCCGGCTCACTTGTGCTTTTACTGGCGGGCGCGGCCACCTTGGGCACCAAGGTCTCTCCAACGTCGTGCAACGATGGCTCTCTGTACATGGCCACTGGGGGGGTGCAGAGGGAAAAGCTGTTAGCGAGAACTTTCCTTCTGCTGTCAACATACAAGTTAAAACAACTAATGATTTGTTTGTTGTTCTTTTTCAAGTTTTCTTTGGGATTATTTAAAATCTTCTGAGAAGATGTCCTTCAACATAGATGTCTTGCCCACCCTGACCTGCTTCTGTCTCCACGGGGGGCGGCAAACAACAAAACAGCAAAAAGTGCCTCATTATCCCACACTTCACAGCAGCTGGTCTACAGCTTGCAACTCGAGTCCACGGTTTAAATGCTTGTGAGTCAGCTCGGTAAGTGACTGCGTCCGGTGGACTATCAGCACGCAAAGCTGCAGTGTACTCCACACGTACCGCAGCAGGATCAGTAAACCAGCACATAATTAGAAGAATATGTTGACGAATCACATAGTTCTACCATCCCTACAGGGCATCTCTGATAATGTAACAAGCGTAGTTGTGTTTTTCACTGTTTCTTGTGCCTACACCTACACGGCAGAAAGAAACCAGTGTTTACAATGAAGTGGACACCAGATAAAGTCCTTCAGGCACCCAAAGGTGAAGAGATAATAGGGAAGAAATGTTGCCCATCTGAGTAAATCAATATTGAAAACTTCAAGATGGGTTTTTAGCAAGCTTTAACCCGCCAATTATTTTTAATAAAATAATAATTCAAATCAAGCCCCTAATAGCAAGTGGAAACTGTCAAGCGGATGTCTTCAGGTTTGGACGAATTGATCTGATGAAGAAAGTTCTGTTGCCATTTAATATGGCAATTTGGTCTTGGAAGTTGTGCACTTTTGAGGTCTGAACCTTTAGAGGATAAAACTGAAGGCGTTAATTGTTTCCAAATCTCATGAAATGATTAAACCATGAAATGCTTCCGCTCATCTCTCAATTCGTCCAAATCAGCGGCGAGTTTGTTTGTTCCTAATGAGAGCAGGGTTTAGGAAAATTATGCTCTATAGCGGGAGGAGGCAGGGCGTCTGTCTGGGACCCTCGTCTTTCTCTACCCATGTTGAGCATCCCTAACCCTCCGTGCTGTTACAAAGTGATGTCACGGCCGCACATACCTTCTAATGGCTTGGGCAGGAAGTGAGCAGCTGGTTTGGTTTTTTTCACCCGGTTCCCCTTCATAGCTTGGCCGTCTTTATTGAGCCCTAGGAACCAAGCTCTCCCCGACTCCTGCTGTCTGTACAACATGGACGAGTAGATCACGTAGTAGTTCTCAAACACCGACTCTTTGAACTTGCACTCCGCTGTGAAGAGTTCCTGCAGGGAAAGACACAAGCACTGGGTTTAAGTGTGTGAACATGCTCATAAGAGAAGAAGAAAAAAACAGAACAACAATACAGAGAAGACTCCATTTGAATGGAACTTATTGCAGTGGACTCCCATTAATAATAACGGTTCACATTACATACGAATTAAGCAAATGACGGATTCATAATTGCTATTTAAACTGCTTTGGGGGGGGTCACCTTTATTCCATGCTGACAATGTAACGGCCTCTGCGAGTTAAATGGACTTCCATCGTTCGTGAAAAAGATTAGCGCTGCAGAGTCCATCTCGCTGTGATCGTGTCTCAAGCCCAATGACCTGCTCGGATGAAATGCAACTCTCATTCTCACCTTGGCCTCAAACCTTGACATCGCATGCGAGAGCACTCGTTTACTCAATTAGCTCATGTTCCCGGTAGATAATATATTTTATTTGCCGTCGACCCCTTGCACCTGCGGCTTTGTAAAGATCAGCAACGCTCGCTGTTCCTCAAACATTATTTTAATTGGTAAAACCCCAAAAGGCTCATTCCTCCCTAATACTATGTCTCTATCAGCAATTCGTCTATGATTACCTTCTCAACTTGGAATCATGATCAAACAAATTAGGCGACTCCTCTATCCTTTTACACCTCGATATGGAAATGATGAATGAACGGCGAGACGCCGCGTCTCTCTGAGCTGCCGCCATTCATCTCCACAGCAGAAGGGTAATAAAGAGGTTTGCCAAACGGCCGTCGCGTTATTAATCAAAGCACACTTGTTACAATGAAGACTTTCACTGCATCTGTTCGGGGCAGCTCACACTTACATCACAACGATCAGGAAAAAAAGTTTAAAAAATACAAATTCTCATAGGCGCCACGTGCCGCCTTCTGCAGGCTTCCTGAGGGACCCATAGTAAGGAATACATTTATTTGCATTGTAACAAATAAGCATAATTGAGATGTGCAAGATGATTTTGTTGATCTTAAATAAATACAACTTTAAGCAGGTGGGATGTTTACCATGTTGAGTCTTCAGGTTCAGGCTGATGAGCATGTCATTAGTTGTGCAGGTATCTGCTCATAAATCACTTTTTTGTTGTACTGCTACGGCTGCACAACAATTTCCCTCGCGATCAATGAAGCGTTATCTCATTATCTTATCTTATTGCCGTTCAGCAGCCTGACGTGTCACATTTTGTGGCTTGTTCCACTTGCAAGAGGCCTTCGTTTTGAAAAAGGACAGCGCTTTCAAAAAGAACTTGGCAGCTGATTGGACGAACCAAGGTGTCTGAAAAGAGTCTTGGCAATCCATCAAAAGCTGAGCTATTAGAAAGAAGATGGAGGTTTACATCCAGGTTTACATAATCAATTTTTACATCCTGTGAAACTGTCCTAATTAGCCCAACGCATCTACATTCATGTATTAAAAGCGTTAGGTCACAGTGACCTTTGACCTCCCGTTTCTAATCAGCTCACCCTTGAGTTCAGGTTCATGTCTGTGACAAATTTGATGAAATTCCCTGAGGTAACGGAAAAACCTGAAAACAGCAATCACCGTGGCAACGAGGCCTGAAATCACGTAGCATCCTTTTGTCCGACAGCTACTCCACAAATCCCCTCCGTTGCATCTTCCTTGCATGTCCTGTATGAGCTGAATGCTCAGTGTGGAACACCGGCGCGCCGTGATTATGCCGTAATCAGCCTTCCAGGAGCACCACTCCTGTCGGAGCTTATCCTCTGAAAGCAGAGCTGCGCCGGAGAGACACTTGGGGGGAACCGTAAGGATCCCCGAGGAGCACCGGGCCGTATATCTAAGTGTCCTCTCTACCCTTGATTGGAGACTTGTGGGCATTCCCCGAGTGACGAGGCGACAAGAACCGCACCATGCACAGACAACTGCATCGACGATGAGAGGTCAGAGTGGCGCATGAACGTGAGGTTCCTCCGTTGCCGCGACGCTACGCAAGGTCATTCTTTTAACGGACTATTAAAAAGAAGGGACTCGGATAAAACCATAAATGCTGCTGCCATAGCCGACTACAGCAGCTGGGCCGACACAGACAGACGTGCAGCCGACTGACGCAATAAAAAAAACGGAGCTGTATTTGATGAAGCCCGGAGCGTCTGGTGTGTTCAATGTCATACGAATAAACACCCCCTCTGTACGACGCACACGTTCAACCCCGTCATTATTATGTTCATTGAGCACATTAAGACTCATTGTGTGTCAGCGGTGGGCAGTTTGTTAAAGGGCTGCTTATTGTTGCTGATTGTTATTGATGTCGGGGGGGGAGGGAGGGGCGGCTCCCGTCTGGACATGTGACCGAATAAGATATAAAATAAACATACACGCACAACGGAGGGTTGATAACATCCAGGCCAAAACATGACTACGAAACATCATAATTGCACTGCTTCATTCGAGCCTTCACGATAAATGTTCAGACACGCTGCTCACCAGCAGAGGCAAACCTCTGTTGGCGGGCTGATTAAAAGCCAATGGGTCCCCCCGAGTTGCCTCAACAAGTCGATTAACTATTCTTTTTCTCCATCAGGTGAGCGGCGCCGCTGGGGGTCGGTGGGCTGCTGTGATTAGACACGATGTTTAGTGGCGGCGGTCCAGGTACGCTGATTACTCGTCGGGCCCTCGCAAAAACTGCCCCGAGCCAAAGCAATCACACGAGCCGCTACCAGGCACATGATTCACTTACATGCACACAAACTGTGTTTGAGGAGCCAAAGCAAGCGCAGGTGGGTTCTTTGTGACTTGTTCAGCCTGATGTTGGTGGTGAGGGTCCAGTGGTCCAGTATGGACTGGATCAGGACTGTTGCTTCCCTCATTTTTCAGGGTTACCAAACTATTTCTATGGCGATCTATCTCATAACAACACGGTCTGCCAATATTGTTTGCCATTAAATCCCAAATGGTCAACAATATGTCAAAAGAATATATCCCTGTGTATCAAAACACAATCAGAGAGAAAGTTCTTTGGCGTTAAATTCTGCCCAAACGTGTAAAGAACATGGGCGACATCGAAGACGAAAGAGAGCGAGTGAGACTCGGAGCACATTTCACGCCAAGCGGCAAATCAAATCATTTTGTTTGCGTCACCAAACGGTCTATTTTCTCCCCGCTCTAAACCTCCCCCTCCCTCCCTCCCTCCCTCCCCCCCCCCATCCCTACCGGCGGCTCCCCGCTTTGCGGAGGACGGCCATTAATTGGCGTGGCATTCTGGCCAGAGAGTGGTTGGCCGAACATTTCTTACCTACCCATATAATCCGCCCGCGGTGGTCCGCAGCGTAAAGAAACAAACTCTGGCGGACTACATGCATGGGGCTCCGCATTCACCCCCCGGCCGGGGGAGAGCCTCTTGCGCGCTGACGGGGGCCAGATCGCGAGTGGTTTTCTAAAGAGAAAACGCACCATTCCCAGGAAAAAAAAAAGGCAGAGACAGACGCAGGGGCGAGTGAGAGTTGGAAGTAAAATCATCCCTGATAAATGCGAGTAGCTCCCAAGAAACAAAATAAAAAAAAAATAAATCACATGCGGATTTTCTTTATCTTCAGTCGGGACCGCTTAATTTAAGTTAACAGGAGGCCCGCGTGGGGAGGGAGAGGGGTACGGGGGGGGGGGGGGGGGTTGCTCAGATTAGTATGCAGATCGAGTGCTCGCTATACCCCAACTGTGGAAACCAAGAAATTGTTTATTAATGCTGCCTGTATAAAACCCATTAATCCGTGGAAAAAGGTCAACCTCCAGAAAGCTGAGCTGCATTCCCAATGCTGAGCGCCTCTCATGTGTTGGCGGCGGTGCGAGCAGACAGACACACCTGATTATCAAACCCAGAGGAGAGCGTGGGGTAAACAGCTGCATGGATAGTGCACACACACGGTGTGCACTATCTGTCTTTTCGGTCGTCTTTTCGGTTGTCGTGTTTTTTTTTTTTAATACGGAACATTTATTCATCGACAATAAGCCACAAGCAGCTCTCCTTATGATCTGACAAAAGAAAGGCGGTGCTCAGCGGGACGGACCTTTGAGTATCACAGCACGAAGGAACCCTTAAATAAAAATGTGAAAGGAACAATCCACTGACGCTCAGATGCGATACCCTTTTGCTGTGCTTACTCAAATGTTGCACCAGATGAGCTCCAGCAAATCATCGGCTATATTTAATGACGACATCAGCAATTCACACGCACGCTTTATGGACGACTCGATGAAAAGTTCTGATGTAGTAAAACATTCCAATTCGGATTTTTGCAAGTTGAGAGGAAATACAGAAGTACTGCAACATGAAATTGTATGATAAAGATTATCATTGGTAATTAACTTGAAATAAATCAATAGCAAATGACTTATCTCATTTATTTTTTAGAATAACATAAGATGCAATTCAATCTTTGAAAAAACATTTATGCTTTGCGTGTTACGAAACGTTACTCCTGATTTTTCATGCCTTTTCCTAAAGATAGCAACAAGTGAAACGTTCTACTTATTACATGCACAAGTTCCTCTGTAAATAAACTCCAGTCTGCCCAGTAAACAAGTTAGTTGGGTTTAAGAGAAGGTGGTTGATCGGTTGAAATGACTACGCAAGTCCCTCGAACAGAAGAAAGTTAGGCGGGAAATAAATCCACGTTGACTCACCAAACCCCGGCTGTACCTGTCTGACAGGTTTGTTTGGACCTTCCAAACTCACTCACAAACCGCATTGCGACCGTTATACTTCTTCTCATGGGGTATCGACCATTTACGTCCTAACCCCTGACCCTATTCATTTAACCAGATGAGAACAGCCTGTGCGATTTTGTGAACTATATTTTGCATATCCTTGCACATGGTCAGCTTCACATGCTGTAATACATTCTTTTCTGTTTCTTTTTTAATCCAAGTGAGGTTATTTTATGGGTGATAAAAAGGTGATAAAACACCTTTTAGCTGTTTGGCCTCCAAAAGCACTTGAGTGTTCGATAAAGATTCCCCGAAGACGAGTCCATTACA